TCAGTCAATATAAGAATCGGGTCACTCGGTGGTACAGAATAAACCCTGCTGGACTGTTTTATTTCTTTGTCATTTAGCAAAAATTATTTAATTAAAATATTTATCCTTTGGACTTCGCTTTAAACTTTATTTTTAGTTAAAATGACTAGAAAATGAAAAGCTGTCTTCAGCTGAAACGCAATTCATGTAATTGATATTTTAAAAAATTGACAAGAATGCAAAATTTATGGAAGTCTAGCAATCGAAAAATCTTAATTTTCTTGTGTGAGCACTGAAAATAACTGTAGAAGGAAAGAAGAAAAATTAGGGAGAAAAGTAAGCAAAAATTTGCAGGGAAATTTGGCTGTCAGACATACCAAGATGTTTCAAAAGTTGGACGCTTTTGAATATACTTTCAGGATACTTCAAAGAATTTAGGTATTCCAAGAGAAAACACTTGGACGTGTACACCAGCAAATACCATCAATTGAGCTTGTGTTAACAGAAAAGACAAAAACGATATCATTGCAGATTAAAGTGAAGAGCGACTGGTTTTAGACTATATGGACAATTTAAATTACGTTTTAGAACATGATATCGTATCATAAATGGAGAATCCCATGATTTTCTCAGTCGAATTATTTTAAGATTCAGGAGTTTATCCAGTGATGTAAGTAGATGTCACCTAAAGATGTTTTTTTTTCCCCTCCTGATGAAACAGTGGTCGAGCGGTAAAGTCGCTGAACACTGGTAGTTCGGTCCGAGGTTCGAATCCCGCGAACGGGCTGGCTGCATGGGCGTTTTCGTGGTTTTCCCCATGTGTAACGTGTATGCGAGCCAGTTTCCCTTAGAAAGTCCTCCACGAAGGCATCCCTCCCCTTAGGCAGATAGCCCTAGTGTGCTTTGTCATAATTAAATAAACCAAAACTTCTTGATGAAACCAGTCTTTCCTTTCATCTCATACTTTCAAAATGTTTAGCCTCTAAAGACTGATAAAGGCTCTGACCAAATACTTCGTGAAGAACTTTCTAAGGGAAACCAGCTAGCTGGCATACTCAGTACACATGAGAAAATCCACGAAAACTCTCATGCAACCAGCCCGTTTACCGGGATTCGAACCCCGGAGTGAACTGCCAGTGTTCAGCGCCTTTACCGCTCGGCCGTTTGTGGGCCTTTATGAAATGGAAGGCGATAACTTTATTTAAAATGATTGTCAGAAATATCAAGATATATTGAAAAGTTGGATGCTTTTTAATATACTTGCAGAATGCCTAAAGAAAAAGAGCAAGAATAAAGTAGAATGCCTGAAGAAAAAGAGAAGACAAAATAAATTTTTGCGTAAAATTTAGTATTTGTATTTTTTTTTTTTTTTTAAATTTAAAACCTTTTATTATATTTGATTCTTGTGATTTCAAAAATAAAATATTTGACTAAAATATGAATAACATTTTAAGAAACCAAATGTAGGATAAAATTGTGTAAAGCAATGGGCACAATGATAAAATTGTTTAAAGCAGTGTATGTAAGTCATCCTAAGTTAAAATTTCGGTTATACATCTCTCTTATTTATATATATCTTTTCTGAACGGAACTTTGAAAGGTGTGTTAACTGTGCTTTAGTGTATTTTCTCTTTTAATATATGCAGTTTTCAAACGCATCATAGTCTGGGTTACAAAGTATTCTTTCGAAAGAAACGCAATTCAAATAAATAAAATCAAATTCTGAAAAATTTATATTAATAAATGTATTTAAAATACTCAGTTCGAAGGAATAAATAGAAAATTTTAAAACAATTATCTGAAGAGACAATGCAACATAAACAATTAAAATAAATGTATAAAATTAAAACATTACCTAAAATAATAACTATGACAAAAATATATATAAAGAAAACTATTTGAAAAAAAAATAAACTCTGCACCTTTATTTACGCAGTTCGAATAGGTAAATAGAAATTTTTAACACAGTTATTCGAAAGAAAAAAAAATTCAACTTAAACAATTAAAAGGAAATTCGAAAAAGAAAAAATTACTTAAAATAATAACAGTTATAATTAAAAATATAATATAAAGAATATTATTTTGAAAAAAGGAACGATGGTGACTTTTTTCCCTCTCATGGGAAAAGAAACTAGGTTGCCATATATTAAGAAGCTAACCAAGTGAACTATTCTTGGCGCAAAATGAAAAAAAAAGTGCCAACATAAATTTGTGAATTTCTCCGTAAATTTCGCTCCAAATTTTAAAAAATTTCATATTTAGGCGTAATTTGAGTTGTAGAATCGAAATATGTAAAAAAATTGGTATGTTATTTCAGAAAAAGTCCGATTTGGGGTCAAAATATCTATGTTAGAATGGTGCTATACAGTCAAAAGTCGTTAATTAGGACACCCATAATCCGGAATGATCTATAATCCGGACCTCAAAGCTAAAAACTTTCTGCGCATGCGCCGCGTTGACACATGCGCATAGGCGTTTACGCGTGCGCGTAAGACCTTTACGACAGTGCATATTCGTGTGCGCAAGCGCAGAATACGTTTTCGCATGTGCGTTTAATGTATAATGGACGTTATAAGCTAAAATTATCTATTTCAGTTAATGTTGATGATTGCGTTGTTCCTTAATCTTCGAATTGGATGCGGCTTATTATTTTTTGCAGACTGTAAGAGCAATTTTATAAAGTAAACTTTCGATTATGTCAAATAGAATTTCCGATGCTGGAGCTCCCAAAAGACCTACAAAACGAAAGTATGTTTCGATGTCCGTCAAACAAAAAGTGGAATTGCTGCAAAAAATCGATAAAGATATGAAGAAGGTGACAGAGAGGTTAGTGAAAACGAAAAAATTTCGATTGACAAGTTAGTCGGTATTCTCGGCACAGCAATTATAGGACTTGAACAGCGGAACTTTGTAACTGAACAAGAAATTATGTCTGTTTATAGAATTAAAGAGGAAGTATTATGACATAAAACGAAGCAACTTAAACAACTTACATTGAAAGAAATGTTTAATAAAGTAAACAAATAAATATTAAGCTTTTTGTTTTTTGTAAATTTTGATACCCTTTAGATCATAATTGTTGTTTATTTCATAAATTACGGTTTCATATTTTAATTTTAGAATTTCTGCATGCCATCTTACCAGATTTAAACTGATGATCTATAATCCGGAAAAATCGATAATCCGGAATTGCCGAAGTTCCGATGAGTCCGGGTTAACGAGTTTTGACTGTATATAAATCTAATATATATCCTAAGTCGCGCTTTCGAGACATGAAGAACGCAATTTGAATTTTGTCAATCAGCCCAGTAGAACGGGAGATATAGAACTGTCCCCCCCTTTTTTTTGAGCAGTGCACATGCTTAAAATTTCTGCCTTTTCTTTTTTAAATGTAATCAGCTCTCAATCAAATGGGCCCTATCTTGAAAGAAAAAAGCTTAAGGTAGTAATGATAGTAGTTTTTCCATTGTACAAACCAAAAGATGAAAAATTCTGTCTTTTTTAATGCAGGTTTAAAGCCAATGGCATATTTCAAGTTCTTTTAAAAATATGCTTCATTAATATTGTTTATAACCTTATTTCTCATTCTTATTCTTCTGTTGTTATTCGTGATGTTTTCTTTTTGTTTTGGATACTGATTTAATTTACACTGTCAAATTTATTTTCCAGATTAACTTATTAACTTATTTTCCATTATTAACTGATTTTCCAGATTAATCAGCTTAAAAGTTAATGGTTAATAGTATTTTGTTAATTATGATATGGGTTACCTTATTTACTTGCACATTTCCCCTCCTTTCTTTCACTAATTTTATCCAATGAAAATCAAGCGGGGAAATTATGTGAATAATTTAATTTCCAGAGGAGGCCGTCATAGTAAGAATATAACAAGCAAAAAGTCTTCATGGATAAACTGATAACATCTATCTCAGTGTTATTTATTTAAAAGAAAAATTATCTAACAATATTAGTGTCACAGAATTTAATAACATGTCTTCATTTCCCCTACCTGGTATCTTGAATTTCCACTACTCTCATTATTGCCCTCTGCTACTCTCTAGCGCCCAGATCATTTAATGCTGCTGGAAGTATCGTCTGTTACAACTTACAAGTCACTGCCATCATCACTGTTCAGTGCATTTTCCCATGTGTAGTGATCTTCAGTACAGTGAAAGATATTAGATACTTCTAATTTCTTGAAGCTCTTGACTACTATTGCTTAATCTATCAGAGCCTTTGCACCCACATTTCACAAGCAAATCAATTAGTAAAATGAAAACAATCACTATGTGGGCAAATCTATTTTAAAATTTAAAGGAACTTGATTTCTGAATATAATAAGGAAGGGGAAAATTATCTGAGGTAAATTCAGACAAGAGTATCATTTAACCCTTTTTCTCTGATGATCTTTTTTATTTTGAAAGTATTGTAAGTCTTTTAGAATGTGAAAGTTGAATTGTCACATTATCCTTTTCATAAATTTGGGCAGAAGAAACTTACTTTTCTTAGCATATTAAGCCTTATAAAATCAATTTGTAATGAATTTTGTTGCATACATTTCTCTTAAAGATAACACATTGCAGATATGCTTTGAAATGCCAATTAGGATCAGTGATAGGAGGAGAAAAGGGGGGGGTATTGGAAGATTTATGCTTATTAGGTGTCTGATAGAAATTCTAAAAACTGTATCATTAGTATTTAATTCTTTGTAATATTAAAAAAAATCTTGATAATTCTTAAAGCTGTCACATGATTAGTCTTTGGTAATATTTGAAATTTCATGTTATAGATTGGGTGATTAAGTTTGTTAATTTTGTCAGCAAAGCATGATAGTCACTTAATAAAGTACCTGTGTTTTTTAATATCATTTTGCATAAAAAAGTTTTTTCTATACTATATAACATCTGGTTAAGTGACTATTATGCTTCGTAATTTACATATCATTTTTTTTCTGTTAAATAATGTACTGTACTAATGTCTGTTAAATAATCAGGCATTTAAAATGTTTTCTACTATTTTAGCTTTGAAGCCAACATTTAAAAAGTATCCTCTTGATAGTGAGATGTTTGCAGCTGAAGGTGGAAACATAACAATCCCTTGTCGTCCTGAAGCTGCCCCATTTCCGAGTTTTACTTGGAAAAGAGAAAACTATGGTTTGAGCTCAGTCGGAAGAATTCGTATCTTGGCCAATGGTTATCTTCACATCAATCCTGTGCGAAGGGAGGATGAAGGTCGTTACACATGCATTGCTAAAAATCAGTATGGCTCAGATTATAGCGAAGGGCTGCTGATAGTGCTAAGTAAGTCTCTCTCATGTAATTAAGTCACTTCCATATTTTCAGCACTCAGTTTTAGCACGTGTTCTGAGTTCTAAATATTTTAGCTATATCAATACAGTTTCAGTAAGATGTTACATTTGTTCTGTGAGCTGAATTATTATCACCAGAATATCTGACCATCAAGCAAACAGACACAGGATTAAAACACTTTAAGTGTATTCTTCCTTACTACTTGTGAATGCTTATATTATAATATACAATCACAGATTTACCAAACAAATTATTTTGGTTTAAAATTCGAAGCTTCCTTTCACAAAGCATATAATTGTACCAAATTAACCTGTTTGTGATGGCCGTCTCATATGTGCATCGCCAGCAAACGTTATTTCACAGCCAGGTGTGTCATATATGAATGGCCATTTAATTCACTCTGTGGTCAGGCATACCACACATGACATTTTAGATAGAACATTTAATTAATGTTTTTTTTTGGGGGGGCCTCTAGATGTAGCTATAAGTCTGTTATGGTGAAATTTATCGAAAGTCAAACATGTTGATGTTTATTCCTATGCAATATATTTTGTTTTGGAATGCGAGGTTTATTCGTTGATGTTGAGCGATGTATTGGGTTTTTAACTGCTCATTTGATATAAGCAAATGCATGTGTTATTCATATTTTTTTCCCCCTGGATATATGAGGTTAGATGGCTTATCCTGTTAGAGGTTATATTTATTGCTCTTGGGTTTTTTTTTTGGGGGGGGGGGGGGGGGAGTTTTAAGACTGATATTTTGTATGGTTTAGCAAAACATTTTTACCTGTAAATGGCAAAACCAAAGCGGTATTCAACAGAGGAAGAATATAGACAAATGAGTCTTATTCTCATACTGATGTCTGTGATGATATTTTTGCGGACTTGGAAAGTGATAGTTATAGTGATTCTAATACAGAATCATATGAACAATATGAAAGAGATTTTTAATAATTTAAATTTTTATAAATGTTTTGTGTTAAATAAAATCTGTGACTTTATGTTTTTGCCATATATATTTATTTGAGGTAAGTCAAAAATTACATTACTCTAGAACTGATTCTTTCATAAAATATTTAAGGAAAATATAAAGTTTTAAAATTAATTTTGATAACCACCCGAGTGCTCTTCTCATAATGTAAAAAATTTGTAACAATTGGTTGACAAATTTAATTTATGCAAAATTTTTCCCAAAGTTAGGCTTAGCAGTGTGAATTGCTCATCTTCACAAGACAATGTGCCGTTAGCAAGTCGCTCTGAGATAACAGTTCGGTGACTGGGTTGCCCATGGTGAATTGGCCAAGTCTAATTTGACTAGAGACTACAAGCTTCCTTAGACTATGATGGAAATTCTAACACACAACTTACTAAAATAGTTTTTAGTATTCACAGCCAGACCATCATCAGCAAACTTTGGCTAGGCAGTGGACAGTAGTAGGCCAAACCTCTCACACTCCTATTCATAAAATCCTAAATTTATAGTAAAATTGCTTGCCTCTCAAATCTACATAAATTCTGGAATGAGCAAACCACATGGCAAAAAGAGGCACAAAAGAAATAATTGAATTAAATTTCCTTAGTAAAACTCTTGCATAAATATCACAGTGTTTTGCTATGCCATCTGTGCAATTCCAGCATTAATCATCTCAGAAACCGTGTCACGTGAAATGAACCTTTAGAAACAAGTAAGTGGCTACAAAATCAAGATTAAGTGGATGTATTGTAAATAACATAAAATTAGTGTACAAAATATTCCAAATTGGTAAATGCAAATAATAAATATAAATATTCATTAAGATTTATAATAATGTAGAACAGTTTTCCTGTTTTATATTAAAAAAAAATAGCATTTTTTCCTCTTTCATAAGTATTTGGCACCATGATATTTTGGCAATATCGTGCATAATTTTTTTTTCCTTGCTGAAATCCTTTATGTATTATTTTTTATATCGGTATGCATTTTTCAAGGTTTACCACAACTTGTGGATGCTCCTTTACCTCGAGTAATGGCAGTAGTAAATGATTCTGCAGAACTGCCATGTCGAGCAAGTAGTAGAAGATACATAGATGATGATACTCTAGATCTGGCTTACATATGGTTACAGAATGGCCTTAGAATTGATATGGAGAAACAACATCAATTTACTGTGGTACGTAGCAATTTTAAACCATCAAAGCATTTTAATTATTTGTGAAATGAAAAATCTTTGTATGTTCTGGAGTGAGTGAAAATTAATACTATAAGAATCTAACCTCCTAAAATGTCTAAAATTGTTAATCTATTGCTGTAACTATTTGACTCCTGTAATTTTGCTCTATTGTTTGTGATTTTTAAAATATATTTTTGCCTTGTAAACTTACATGTCATATTTTAAAAGCAGTATTTTTCCTTTGCTTATTTGTTGATTATTGGTTTGAATAGTTGAAAATTAGTGGAAGGAACCCAAAATTTTCTCGAATCCAAATTCAAATCCCGAAAGGTTTTTGAGTTTCTCGAAATCTATCATATTCAGAAATTCAAAACTTAATATTTGAAGCATTCAGAAATTCAAAACTTAATATTTGAAAGTTTTTAATAAAAGCAAAATTTGGAATGTGTATTTAATGAAAAATTTACAAATTTAAGTATGCGCATTTAAAAAAAAACCTATGTTTTTTAAGAAAATGCAAATGAAATTCAGTAAATAAAGTCTGAAATCAAAACTCTTAAATATTGAAATTTATTTTATGGATGGCATCATAAAGTGAAATCTATTTATTTACTTTTTTGTCACAACATTAATTCAAAGTAAACTGCTTATCATCCAAAATGTAGCACCGTGAAGGTAGCATCCAAACAGCATGAAACTTTTATTATGTTTATACTTCAATGGAATATGAAATGATAACGATTTCAGCTCTGCATACGTCATGGATGACTGCAGCCATTCATGCAATCCATATGTAAAGGAAAGAAAGTTACTGTGTGGCTGCTTCAGTATGCCTCATAGAAAAATATGAGCATCATTCAAGCAGGAGTTCAAATAAGGCAGAATCGTTGCATACAGAGATTGTGGATTATCCTTCTGGAAAATTTATCATTGTGTTGGACATAGCTAAGCAACTGCCATGCGACTATAGAATGGTTAGGTGCAAGAAAGAATGACTGACAGACAGGTGCAGTTGCAACCACCTCACCGTACCGTTACACAGAAAACAGGCACATTATGTCTCTGGCACTGATAGAGCACACTGCCTCATCCACAACCATATCACAATGATTGCAGTCTGTAACACATCATTCGGTGTCTGCATGAACAATTCGACTTTGTTTCCAGTACAGTGGTCTGTCCTCTAGGTGTCTATTGATTTGCTTACCTTTAAACCACATGCATTTGCAATGGTGCAGTGTCATGATATTTGTCAAATTAGTCCTGCACCTAGTGTTATGTTGTGGGGTGGCACTAATTTTAGTTGAAGTCCAGCCCACCTGATCTTATTTGACCTTATCAGGCCTACTTCAGTCCACCCAAACAAAGGCGATTAGTGACTCAGCCATTGTTGTATTATTATTATTTTAATGTATTTTGCACTTGACTAGATGCCATTTGATGCCTGTAATTGTTAGTGCAATATCTAACTAAAGACAAAAATGCCCTCTGTGCTTTTAAAAACTGTCTATTTATTTATTTCTAACTAGCCGCTATGCAGCCAGCCTTTGTCTGGTTTTTAAATGTACCATAAAAATGCCTAAAGGGAACACCAAACATTAAATTTCAAACCTGCACAGAATTTTACTCTGCAAAACAACTTTATTAAAAAAAATCAATAAAAATGTATCGCATATTAAAAAAATTACAATGAAATAAGCAATATCCCTTAATACAAATATTAATTATCCTAATAAATATATTACTCAATTTCTTGTTGCAAAATCTTAAGAATTCAAATGGATAGACCAAAACTTTTTATATAATTAAAATTATACATAATTAAAGCATAATATAAAAAGTTGCAATGAAATAAGCAATAAATCTCATATTTTCAAGAGAAAATAATCAGCATTCATGTATTCCAAAACAGTGATTGAAAAACTGTTGCCACATTTCTAAAAAAAATGAAACTATTATCAGAAAGCAATAACCAATCAAAATTGTGCTTTGTGGATGACATAATTCAAAATACACAAACCTCTTTGCCATTAGCTAATAAAGAAAGAGGGAGAAAAGGGGGAAATTCTTTCTGTTGTGCCTTTTAATATCTTGTTATTTAACAAATAACTTTATTAATTATGGAAGTGGCAACGCCATATTTGTATGATGCAATTGTTGCTCAGCAAGAGAGGAAATTGTTTTAAGATGAGTATTCTGAAGTTTGACTAGCTAGTAGATATATGGAAATTTTGCCACTTAAGAATTGTATATAAATTATCTATCTCCATAAACTAAAAATAAAATTTATGTTTTACTAAGAAGATTATCTGTTTTGTCAGTTACTGCAAAATACGTTACAGTCTCATGAGACACATATGCGTCAGAATAAGAAGATTGCAATGTGCGTGCTGCTTTTCCAAAAATCAAAAGAAAATAAGCAACATCCCTCAATACAAATATTAATTATCCTAATAAATAAATTAACCAACTTCCCGTTGAAAAAAAAAAAATCATGCTAAATTATTTTCAACAGTCAGCAGTCGTGTATACAAAGCATTAAATGAACAACTGTTGCCAAAACCACATTTCTAAAAGAATGAAACTATTCAAAATGATGCAGTTTCATCAAAAAAGATAAAATTTAAATTAATTTGATTTGAATTTTGAAAAAAATCCCTTCGAGGTTCACTGTGGCTGTTGTCTGGATGCATTTATGTATCAAATTTCATAGCTATTTACACCTATGTACTAAATTAGCTTTTATTATATGTAAAAGATGGCTTGGTACTTTTCCGCTTTGCTACCGCAGGCGATAAAGTCACTAATAATGGTACAACTGATGCCAAACACAATATCCTCTCTGGTAACCTTTTATACCTCATTTTAAAAATAAGTAGCAGCCATTTCTTATCAGATTGATTGTTTCTCTCAATACTGGCATACAATTCCATAGAATTTTTGCTCGGATAGTTCAATTTTATGCCTTAAGGCCATTCACGGTAATTAAGCCAATTAGGATGCAATCACACCGCTCACCCAAAAGTGAAAATATAGAAAAGACAAAGTCAAGGGTCAAGTTCATCAATTCTAATGAGAATTCACTAGCGAAGTAAAGCACTGCGGTTTTACATAATGTCTGTGTAAGCTATTTGTACAGATTGAAATAATTCTTGCTTTTAAACTTGTATTCCAAACTAAGATTTAACTCGAAATCAATGTAGGTAATTACTGAGAGAATTAAATTTTTGTAGCGTTGTTTTCGTGAGATGAGATCACTTGGGGTCACGTGATACGAGCTGGTGAATCAGGATGTTGAGCCATGAAAGCATAGTGAATTCTTAAATGTCTTTTTACAAATTTATTGGCTTTTAACAAAATTTTAAATGCTATTAAAACGTTATTATGCCTTCAAAATAAAAAATTCTTAGAACTAACATTTGTTAACATTTTTTATGTGTATACTGTATGCTGTCGGCAATAAAGTCTGCTTGGCAAGATTTGCGCCAGCAAAATGAAAAAGTACAGTTGCCTCCTTTTATCTCTGATTATCTTTAATTAATATCTCTAATTATTTCTATAAATACTTTATTTATGTATTTTTGTTTGTAATGGCAACTTTTTTTTTGAACTCAAAATAAATCCTATTGAAACTTATATTATTGTTTGTTTGACAAATATTGACACTTATAAATAATAATATTGACAAATATTGAAACATGTATAATTATTTCAGTCAACAATTGTACGGTGTTTCATTACTAGTTAGTTGCATTTGACAGAATATGAGCTATTAACAGCAGAAGTTGATAAATCGAATAACTGTTGGGAAAAGAATGCACAAACCTTTGCACTAGCATCTGCTTCGTAATTTTTTTTAATAGCATGATCTTTTGTTTCAGATCAAAAACAAAGGTATTGCTGCATTTTAATTGCTTTCTAAATAAGGGCATTATTTGTGTTTTTATGTTTTGGTAAAGTTGTAGAAACATTATGCTATTTTTAAATTAGAGATTTATGAAATGAGCAATGCCCTCACTGGGACTCGAACCTGTTGAATACATGCTGAGTGTGCTGACCATACACCATGAATTCATCCTAAGAAGATGGGAGAAATACCTTATAAAGTTCAAATGAAATCTTTCAACGTAGATTATACTGTCTTCTGGGTTTCTTTGCTTATGTTTGTTATTCAGTAATTACCGAATAATGTTTATGTATTGATTCTTTTGAAAAAATATCAGTAGTTCAACAAAACGCAGTCATTCCTTCTCTTTATTCACAATTACATCTTTGCATAACTAATTTGACGTGAAGTAAAGTTTTTTGGTACTTCAGCATACAATTTTTGAGTGTTGTCCTATTACCAATAGAGTACCATTTTTTGTATGTTAAGTTTGATATGTGATTAATTGTAATTTTGCTGCTGCAACACTAATTAGAAAATCTATTCACATATTTTCTTGTATATTTAAAAGGGTTCATATCCCGGATACCTAAGAATTTATAACATCACACGTGCTGAAGCTGGTACCTACCATTGCATAGTGAAAACAGCTGTTGGCAGAATCACTCAGTCGACAGAGCTGGTTGTGTACGGTATGTTGTTATCTGTATTTGTTAAAGATTTTAAATTGATTTTTTTGTGATATCTTAATAAACATCTAATATTAGAATGACACTATTAAATTTGGCATTTTTTTAAATGAAAACAATTCTAGTTCTGTGACCTTGGTAGAAAATTAATGTTTTGTGAATTTTTAATTTTTTATAAACTGGTACATTTGGTGCCAGGCAGATATTCGTGTTACCATTGCACTTGTCCTACACATTACGTCATAAGCAAATTTTCTGCCTTTCCGGAATAAAAATATTTTGTCATAAGTCACTAAATTTGGCGACTTATTGGCACTTCTGCAGTTTAAGATAATTTCTCTATAAAAATTTTTATTTGTAATTTACAAGTTTGGCGACTTATTGGCACGTCTGCAGTTTTAAGATAATTTCTCTATAAAAAATTTTTTATTTATAGTTTACATATTTCATGAGATTTTTTTAATAAATTTTGACATTAGTGCAGTATTATTGAATATTTTTTAACAGTCTAATATGTAATATGTCTTTTGACGTATTTTTTCTGTGTTTCAAGACCATTTATTTGTAAAAAAGATCGAAGATTCATCAATGATATCTTGCCGCTTTGTTTCAACATTTTTCGTCATCTTTCAGTGAGCTCTGTAATTCTGCATTATCTAGAGAAAAAAAAATTAAACAAGATGTTGATTTTCAGTCTCATTTGTATTGAATTTTATATCATGCCAAGAGTTTAGAAGAAATAAAAACAGGTATAAGTCTAATTGCATGAGGTCATTCAAGTGTGATGGGCATGGCAGCATATCCAACCTCCAATAATTTTTGACAGGTGATCAAATTTTTTTGTAGCCTTGCTTTGTCATGATAAAACACATTTATGATTAGCGAACTGTGGACATTTTTGGATGACAGATTCATTTGAACAACCCATTTATCAGCTAGAAACATTTGAATAGTCTGTTTGCTTCGAAGGTAAGAGCTCAGAAAATGAGATACTTTTATATATATTTATATATCCCATCTTCTTCAGATGGCTGTGTAATGTGTATTCGACTTAGTCCATGTCACCATCAGGCTTGTTTGGCCTCCTTGACCAAGCAGGTTCAAAACTATCATTCTATGACATTACTATGACACTTTTCACACAAGTGTGTTCATCTCTTTGCAGAAATAAAACATTATAATAAAAATGCATGATTTGTTCTTCCTCCTTCAACTTAGGAAATCTTTAAACCTCAACCAAATTATTCAGTTTTTTTTTTTTTAGTCCAAAGGGGCTTTGGACTAAAATTGAAGACCCTGAAGGACTATTGTTTCGTTTTGCGATTTTGCGTCGGACTCATAAACGTCGGTTCACTTTTCAAACTGTTGCCACAAAATGTTAGAGTCCTGCATTATATTTGAAGAAATTAAATAATGAAAAATCTGCATAAATGATTGTCTATTTCTCGCATTGTGATAAAACAATGGTACATAGAGCCATCGAATTTTGAATGACGAAATCCTACTGCGAATATGGGCATCTGAAATCCCAAATTTGGAATTTGTTTTATTATAGATTTTATATTTTGTAAAACTTTAACGAATTTTTGATTTACAAACTCAATGCTTTAAAAGCGAGAAATGGCAACGTTATATAGAAAAAATACTTTTTATCTCCAGCTCGCGAGACTGTGTATATCGGAAATTCTAATGATATGCTTAATTTAACATTATTTTGCGATATTGCTCTTGAACTGAATTTTATGGTTTAAGTGCAAAGAACATGATATTTAATAAATAAAGGTAACACTCAAAACGTTAAAAAAACGCCCCTTTGGACGTAATTTAAAATCTGAAACATTTCAGATTTTTTTAGTTAATAAAATATGTGAAAATAAAAGTTATCCTTCTTTACATACTGTGCTCACAAATCATTATGGGAATATCCATTTACAATAATTATAATTAAAACCTGAAAAAAGCATGTTTGCAAAGTTATCGTCATGCGATGATTTGTAGATACTTTATTTTATTTATTTTTTTTTTTTTTAAGAATGAAACTAAAATTTTCAGCTCTCAAAATACCAAAGTAACATAAATCCAGGTGGCTACATTTCAAAAAATGTTCTCCTCCCCCAATCTATTTCAAAAGTGCATCATGACTTTTACAACTCAAAATTAAAATTAATGTTTTTTTTAATAATATAGGAAAAAATTCCTTCCATTTGTAGTGTTTTAAAATGGCATAAGTATTGGCAAGTCTTGATTTTGGAGTTCAAACAAGATAATAAATTTTGTTTCAAATGACTAGATATTTGCTACTTGGTACACTTCTTGGGAATGGCCAGTACCCTTTCAAGAGGACTGCTTCGCTGTTATTTTAAGTGCTCCATGCTGCACTTATAAACATGTAAGTCTTCTCTTGGATTCAAACCTAGGCCCAGCCAGCAGTGCTAACCACTATGCCAAACAGTACCAAGGACAGTTTCCAAATTACTTATTAACCAAACAGAAAAGTTAATGTAACCACATGTTAAACTTTTAGTTTTTACGTAATATTGGGTTGGCAATTAAGTAATTGCGGATTTTTTTTAGAAAATCAAAGACAATTCTTTCATGGAACTAAATAACTTTATTCTGTAATGTACTGCCCATTTTGATCAATGACCTTTTGCCATCTTTCAGGCAGCATCATAATCCCACGTTCATAAAACTTCTGGTTTTTATTAGCAAAAAACTGAATCAGGTACGATTTGACATCATCATCATTATTGAAATTTTTACCATTCAAGGAGTTTTGTAAAGATCGAAACAAAAAGTAATCAAATAGTGCAAGGTCAGGACTATATGGTGGATGTGGCAAAACATCCCAACCAAGCTCCAATAATTTTGCCGAGGTGACCAAAGATGTGTGTGGCCTTGCATTGTCATGATGGAATACAACACCTTTTCAATTTGTCAATTCGGGCCGCTTTTCTTCAACTGCATTGTTTAATTTCATTAGTTGTTCAATGTAGACATCAGAATTGATCGTTCGGTTGTGTGATAAGAGTTCAAAGTAGACAATTCCTTTGAAATCCCTCCAAACTGATAACAAAACCTTCTTTTGATGAATATCAGCTTTTGATGTTGTTTGAGTTGGTTCACCTGGCCTGCTCCATGATCTTTTCCGCTTGATATTGTTGTAAACAACCCATTTTTCATCGCCAGTTATCAGTCGTTTTAAAAATGGATCATTTTCATTACGTTTATCTTTAGTTCTTTCTTTAGGGATCATTGCATTACGCAAATGGCAGCTTAATGCGCTGCGTTAAATGCGTTTCTTTCAGTTCATGAGGAACCCATGTATCGAGTTTTTGAACATAGCCAAGTTGTTTTAAGTGATTTTCAATGCATGTATGTGATACATGAAGCTTCTCTGCAATCTCACGTGTTGTGCTGTGACGATCCGTAGCAATTATTGCTTTGATTAGGTCCTCATCAACTTCAACTGGACGACCAGAGCTTTTTTCAACTTTGAGTGAAAAATCACCAGAACGAAATTTGGCAAACCAATTTTGACACTGCCGTTCTTTTAAGGCTTCGTCACCATAAACAGCACATAACTTTTTATGAGCTTGCGATGCTTTTTCCCTTTGCGGAAATAAAAAAGCAAAATATGACGAAAATGTTCCTTTTGATTTTCCATTTTTCAACGAACGCCAAACGAAAACTTCGCAACCCATCAAAAAACTTTTTTTACTGATTGACAGCTGAATTGCCAACTATCAAATAACAAAATGTGTTTTACATTTGTACTACGTCTGCAACCCTAAAAATTCAACTGAAGCCATCTATGAGTGAAATCCGCAATTACTTAGTTGCCAACCCAATATTATGAATTATTTACAAATTTTTAAAAAATTTTTATAAAATTAGTTTTATTTGTTTAATTTTTTTATGTTAAATATTTTTCTTTATTTAGTAGATTCGTGTCAGTTATCTCTATAAAATTAACCTTATAATTTTTCCATAATTTCTTTTCTTTTTTTCCAAAAATTGCATGATTTTTACTGTTGTAAAGTTGGCAAATATGAAATGTTGAGTCATTGGTATTGTTAGGTCCACCTGGGGCTCCTGGTGCTGTACTGGCAGAAGACTTAACTGCTACCTCAGGTAGAATTCATTGGAGTGATGGTTCTCCTAATGGGGATCCAATTAAAGCATATACCATTGAAGGGAGAACGAATCATAATTCAACATGGGTGGTTCTGAAAGAAAGTGAGTAACACCTACAATTGAAATTTTTCTTTTAATAAATATTCTTACAAATTTTAATTACTTTTATAATATGGAATTAAGGGATAATTTATTTTTTATTTATATGGTGCTTTCTGGTTAACAGGATGTCACTTGGTGCCAAATTTAACTAGACGGCAATTTTAGTGCATGAAAAGAATGACTATTTTATTAAATCATGTATAAATATTGAAAAAAGGACAGATACACATAGAAAAATAATTAATCGATTTTGAGACTTACTTCAAATAACCCAGAGGCACAGAGCTGCTGATTTCAATTAGCATTTCGAAAACATTCGCATCTTCTAATGCAATCAACACTCAATGAATTCAATTAAGTATAGATGGTGGCAGGCAGTGTGATACTGGTGTTTATTTCATTATTTTGCAGTACCTCAAAATTTGTTGGTAGTTCGTGTATGGCATCCAGCATTTGTATGGATCAAATTATATTTATGTTTATATCACAGGTGCTCATATCTGGCAGATGCTGATGTTTTTTTTTAACTTAAATCAAACCTAAAAAAAAGTTTCTTTTAGAAGTTTAAAAAATGTTTTTAAATATAAGAAAATATAAAACATAATAATTTTAAAAATGAAGGGCTTCTGTACCAGTTATATAATATAGGAAACTAGAAACTTTTTTTTTTTTTTTTTTTTTTTTTAAATACAGCAAAACAGCAAAGTGTCATAAAAATTACCAATGGAATGTATTATAAATTAAGTATATTTTAATTTATAAGAGAAAGAAACAGTACTAGTAATAGTAAAACGAAAACTAAATTGTTAAGAATTGCAAATTTATATTTTTATATCATTCTGTTTATTTATGAATAACAGATTATATTTCAGTTTGAAAGATAATTAAAGGACTTATTCTCGCTGAATGGTAGCTTTCACATAAGTGGTTGTGCATCAGGGCACATTGAATATGGCAGCGTATCCAACCTCCAATAATTTTGGTTGCAATTTGAGTCCAATAATTTTTGTTTGTTTAAATTAAAGATCTGTTACTTCATATTGCAGTAGCAACATACTGCTTTTGAATTGCTGGGTTTGTTTATTAATGACAAGGTAATTAAATTCACTGAGGCAATGTATAAGTGTATGTGAGAAATAAATTAAAGCTGCTATGTTTCACGCTATTACCAGTCTTTTTGAGGACTACTTTTAGATTCTTTTCATTCTGGTCATTCATCAGTTTCTAAGACATGATCATATTTACATATTAAGTGAAAAACATATTTGTATCTTAAATAAAAACAATGTGTGCCATTTAAAGGTATTAAAAAGCAAGAATGTATTTTTTCTTTCAGATAAAATAATTTTGAGTGTGATATTTTTTCTGTTCTTTTTATAATAAATAATTTAAAACATTCAGTCATTTTTTAATGTTTGTAGAGATGGGAGTTTTGCTAATATTTATTTTATAGTTCTTTGCATTCAGATGTACTCTGCTCTGATTATTGCATGTGCCCTGTCTTTTAGTTTAAACTCAGTAATTGGTTTTAATAACCCAGTGTAGTAGTCTTTTATAAAAGTTTTATTTATAATATTACATTTTGTGATTTAGGACAAAGTGCTTTCTAAAGAATCTGTTACTATGTAATATTAATGTGTATATATGTAAAATTAAAAAAAAAAAGAAAGCAAACTTGAAATTTTAATTGGCTATAACCTCTTTTATTTTTTAATTCAATTTAGGGACTTCATTTCTCTGTCTTAAAAATAGCTCTATAAATCTTAATTGCGTCATTCAAATTAATCATGTGATCTTATGTAATCCTTAATGCAGATATCTCTTGCCTAATCAAAGTAATTTGTAAACCTAAACCTTTATGCCTCCATCCCTGTTTCCTTTGCATTACTACTGTGTCATTCTCTCTTCTGGCTGATGCTTTTATCCTGTTAAGACGTTGCAGCAGTCTTCTGTCACTACAGTATAAAAATTGTGAATGTTTTGGAAGTAGGCATGATTTGAGTACCAAGGGAATTGTGACCACCAAAATGCAAATTTAAATAAATAAGAAATTTAATTGGGCTCAACTGTTTATTCTTTTTCAAAATGGATGGACTATGCTACTAACTTCAATGGAACATTTATTCCTCAATTGGATTTCTGTAAGATAGTATCTGCAAATTCATTATTCTAAAAGATATCATCAACTATTCAAATATGTTGTGCTATCGTAACATATATATATATATATATTTTTCAGATGTTGAAAAATACAAGATTAGACCTGAATCTGGTCGAAGAGAAATAGAATTATTTAATGTTCTGTCACCATGGAGTAAATATTCCTTTAGGGTGTCAGCTATAAATTCATTGGGTAAAGGTGAACCAAGTGATCCAAGTCCAATTTATAATACCGACAAAGATGTTCCTCATGTTGCACCATCAAATGTTGGAGGAGGTGGTGGAAAAGCTGGGAGTCTTACTATTACTTGGGATGTAAGTTTTATTTCTATTTTACTTTTTACAGAGCAGGTATTCATGTTTCTTTTTGAGATGCTGGTGTATTAGTCAATACCTGCCAATGCATCACAAAAAATAACACTTCTGATTCCTGTGAGCATTCATTAAGCCTAATGGCTCTTCCTGATTCGTCTAGTAAAAATGAATTTTTTAATTATTATTTCTTTTTCTTGTTGCTTCTTTTTTGGGAGAGGGAAGGGGATTAATACAATGCTTCTTGCTCTTATTGCATCAATTTACTTGTACATATTTTCATATTTTTCTATGTTCTTTTATCAGTACATGCTTTTTCCTTTATATATACCTAACCAAAATATTTAATGCGAGATATCATTATCATCATCTGTCATCATCTGTAAATTTGTATGCAGCAATCATATATGTAATACATTTTTGTTTTATTTTTTATTGGTCACTTTAAGACTATTCAGAGCTTGATTTTGAATCATTTGGAAATTAAATTATTTACCAAAGTATAAGAAGCATGTTCGAAAATAAATACTTTAAATGTGAAAAAGTGTTAGATTAAACGAATTGTGAATTAAAGCAAAACTGAGATATGCGGATCCACGAAAAATAATTTAATGACATGAAGTTTTCTTACCTTCTTTGAAGAAAAATATAATAATTGAGTCAAGCAATAAAAAAAAGACGAAAACCTTTTTTTGTTTTGCTTCTGAAGAAAAGAGACCTGTGTCTGAGTGACCTCGAAGTCAATAGTTTAATTCATAAGTAAAGTTGAATAAACCTACACTAAATTTTTTTTTTTTTTTTTTTTTTCTTAATTTAAAATCTTGCATGAGCATGTTTTTCTTTCTTTTGATTACTTCAAATAATTTATTGTTCTACATTGTTAGCAACTTGTTTTGGTAATATAGTTAAATTTTATCAGTAAAAAGTGAAATTTGGAACTATATATTATTATTAAAAATATTGCATATTTGGCAACTTTTACCAGTTTTTTTGTTATATGACATCAATTTCTTATGAATTTTGCAATTTTTTCTAAAAATGTGAATAATTATTCCAATTTGCCAGTAATTCTGTATTTTAAGTGCTTCCTCTTGGCAGATATTTGTGTTTTATTCGAATTAGGCTCTTTTATTGTATCAAAGATGAATTCTTTCCTTGTTATGCATCATTAGCTTTGAAAGCTTTAATACTAGACTGGCTATGCAAACTTTAATTCGTTGATATCAAATTTCCTGGCCGTTTTTTACGATCATAAAATCATTATATCATTAAAATAATAGTGTTATTTTGTGTTTGAATAAGTTCTTGCTGTTTTTTAACAAATGACATTACATGTATGTAGTTAAGATCTACATGGAAATGTATAAGCAAGCTTGAAATTCGGTGTATGTTATTTTGCTGAAATGCAAACAATTTTTTTCACAGTGTTAAACATATCAAATTTTGTGTCCCCCCAAAAAGAAGTATTTGTGGTACTACTTAATTAAAAAAATTTGTAGGTTCTGTAGACTTATGACATATAGATAAAGTACAGAGATTGCTTGAGACACATCAAAAGTAAAGGTTTTGATATTGAAGATGAAGAATGTTCTGGCACACTGCAAAAGTTTGAAGATGAAAAATTGAAGGCATTACTTTATGAAGACACATGTCAAATGCTAGCTGAACTTTCAGAATCACTTAGAATTGATTGCACAACAGTTGATTCAAAAGCAATGTCACTGGGGCCGTACCAGTTAAGAGATGTTGAATGATGTCTTTTTTACATGTGAATATCTGCTTCAGAGGCAGAAAGGGAAAGATTTTTCTTTTTTTGCATCGTATCAAGACTGGTAATGAAAAATGGATGTACTACTTTGACAACCCCAAGCATAGAAAATCATCAGGTAAGCATCATATACATGTTTCCAGACTTCTGTTCTGCATTTGGTGGGATCAGCTGGTTATAGTTTATTATGAGCTGCTCAAACTAAATGAAACAGACATGGGAGATTGTTATCAACTACAATTGATGCATTAAGTCAAACATTGAAGGGAAAAACAGCTGCTGTATAAGCAGAGACATGACGAAGTGATTTTGCAGCATAATGCTCAAACACATGTTGCAAACCTGCTGAAAACCCATTTGGAAACACTTAAATGGGAAATTCTACTGCACCCAGCAAATTCACCAAGCATTGTCCGTTCTGATTATCACTTGTTTCAATCGATGGCCTTGTTAAGCAGCGTTTCCTTTCTTATTAAAATGCCAAAAAATGGTTCGACTCTTGGATAGCCCCAAAAGACATGTCGTTTTTCTGATGTGCACTTCAAATACTGCCAGAAAAAAGTAATGGCTAGCAATAGCCAATATTTACCATGACATGTTTTTTGCTGATTTAAATAAAAAAAATAATAAAGCATTAATTTTCATGGAAAACTAATGAGAATATGTTCAACAACAGGGTTCGTAGCGGTCCTTATAAGTGCTTATAAGTCCTTATATTTGAAAATAAAATATAAAGGCCCTTATAGGTGCTTACTTTTTCTTTAAAGCCCTTTTTTTTTTTTTTTTTTAGTGCTTATTTTTTGCTTTTAGTGCTTTTTTTTTTTTAATGAACGCGCTATTTTTCCCCGTACCAAAGCCAAAACTAAATAAACAACTTTTCTTCCTAATATGAAATGTCAGATAGTGAATCATACTCCCTGAAAAAGCTTTTCCCCCTTTCTCTGCATTAACATAACCTTTGGTGTGCACGAAGAGTACAGACAGGTGCCCGTCGTTCTATCGGTCAAAGAATTGCAAAAGTAGTAGAAAATTCCGGTACATTCGGCATTCTTTTCATCCCACCCAAATACTACACATGCTTGAATTTCTATCAAGATCTTAATAATTTGTATTCTCGTTCCGCTTGGTCAGTTCATATTCGTGTTTATTATGATTATTATGCTTATATTATGAGCATATGTATGAATGTTTATAATAACATAGTTGCAGTAACTGCTGAAGTATAGTAAACTTCCAAAAATGGTTGTGGTTTTAACACAGATTAGCTTTCTAAGGAATAATATTCGGAATGGCTTAAATAAAGGGAAAGTAATCGAATAGTCAAAATAATTTCATTTTTTTGGCCAATACATTATACAGTACGAAGATTGGGAGGTTCTCCCCTTTCTTCGCAAAATCTCAAATATTGGACCTGTTACAGTTCGTTGCAAAACAAGAAACGGACTTTTTTTTTTTTTTTTTTTTTTTTTTTTTTTTTTTGTCAGTTTCCAATCTGGATTGAATAGTACTAAAAGTTCTGCGGTCTACCAAGCAAAGAATGATTCTATTCCGGAAATTTAACGCTGTCTGTTGAAAATTAGAATGAAAAACACTGCAGTTATTCAGTTCTTTATTCTCTCAATACCTTCAGCTGTTGATTCCGATTGCGCAATATCACGTAGGGAAGAATTACGGCACACGTATTGCGCAATAACATTTGCGATATTTTGCAGAGATAATTAATTTTGATGTTCTGTCCGAGATTTGTTTATGAACACTTAAAAGAGTTTTACTGTGCTTGCTAAGCAGAATATTTTTCAGTTCCATTGGTTTATTTTTGTATGATGCACATATCGAAATGTCAAAAGCATTTATTTAGCGGGAAAATCTAAAGAGCGGCTTCAGTCTACCCTCCGCTCCTCTTTTTCAAGTTAAGCTCGGCTGTCCGACCGAATATTCGCCAATTTCCAAGTATGCGGGTTAGTTAAGCTTTTACTGTTAAAGGATAACTGCATGAAGCAAATTTCTGTCTTCTGATTTCAGAAATGTTCCTCTTTTTTACTTAAATTACTTTGCTTGCAATATTTGTTAAGGGAAAACTGATATACAATGAAAATTTAGAAAATGTTCAGAATTTAGATTTAAATTATTTAAATATCAATATGAGTGGAAAAATAAATTGTATTTATTATTAGGTTCCAAGCGAATACCTTATTATTATTTATTTTCTCTATTTTGAACTGAAATTTCATCATTAAATTTTGTAATATAGTTTACTTCTGCATAGTTTTTTTTTCTCTCATTGTAAACTAGTTCTGTAAATTGAACTGTTATTTAAAATTTAAAAAAAAAAAAAAAAAAAAAAAAAGTAATTATTTTCCATGGTTGGGGTAATGCTTATTCTCTCTTAATAAATACTGCATTTCTCATATTTTAAATTACAAGTCTAATTTTTAAGGTTATGCAGTTGTGTATAATGTAATTAGACAGGTGCTTATTTTTTTTTCTTAAAATGTGCTTGAAAAGTGCTTATAGGTGCTTATTTTTTTAACTAAAATATGGCTATGAACCCTGAACAACCTTATGTATTAAAGTTACATTATTTTAGGGAAATTTATATGGAACTGAAAATTTTTATTTTCCTTCTTTTCATATTTAAAAGTATCCTTATCTATCATGTTTAGCAATGTTTGAATATACTGACACTGAAATTTTAACAATTTTATTAATGATATGAATTTGCCTACTTTTCCATTTTTTATAATAAATATTTTATCCCCTCCCCTCTTAAAAGTAATCAGATATGTACCAGTTTTTTTTTTTTTTTTTTTTTTTTTTTTTTTTTTTTTTTTTTAATATTCATACCCCCTTCCCCACAGTGTCCTGAAAGTTATGCTAGTAAGGTTAACATGTATGCTGTTGATACAGTTTTTATTAGATTTTGTTTGCATAGATAGTGTGAAATAGATAGTTTCCCCCAGAGATGGGATGAGGCTTGAGAAAATAAATAAAATTAATATGAAGCATCTAAATATATATAAAACAAGAAGCAAAGAAAGGAATTCTAGGTTTATCAAGGAAAAGTAATGTTACTTTAAAAACTATTCCGTGTTGCTGCCATAAACTGAATTGTAAGTGGTTCTCATATTAATTCCACTACATAAACTTATTGAATGTGTATAATTTTCCCAAATACTTATTGTATTTTATGTGCCAATTTTAAGAAAAATGAGAGGAGCAACTGATGAAAATATCTTTCTAATACATTTTGTTGTGTAGATGATAAGAAAAAAGAGAGAAATATAATGTATGATGTTTAATTGGGTTAGTGGTAATATTCATCCCCCTCCCCCACACACACTATTAAAATTTTACTATGCAATCAGCTCCAGATTAACCAGGTAATATCAAGAAATACATCTACATTTAACTCAAAATCACGGTTAATCCAAGGGCAATTAGCAGAACTTTGAAAAGAGAAAACTTTAACATCTATTATAATTAGTAGAAAAAATGCTAATAATAATTTGTCTATATTTTCAGGCAGTTTAATATAGAAAGTTAATTCATTTGGTTGTATAAATTAATATTCAAAGAAAACCTATAAACTGAGAGGGGGGAAACATTTAAAATAAAAAAAACTAAATTATAGTTAATATTAAAAAGTGATATTTATGAGAGAAACTAAACTAAACTCAGTGGCGTAACAGCCCTAATGAGCCAAGGCCTGCAGTACCCTAAATCTGCTTTCTTGACCATGGGCCCTGGGGTGCGTAAGCATATGCCCTGAACAAGTGATCAGCTTATCGCAGAACCCCCAGTGTTTAGTCCCCAAGCGAACTTGGTACTCATTTTATCGACCCAAGTGATAGAAATCAAGGGATGAAAGGCTGAGTCGACCTTGCCCAGCCCGGTAATCGAACCCTGGACCTGTGGTGCTGCTGCGCGATGTGCTGCCACTGCGCCACTGAGCCTCATTTATGAGAGAACTTGAACAATATCATTAAATTCAAACTTAGGGGGAAAATGCCAGTTAGGTCTTTTTTCACTGCAGTATTTGTATATTCTGGATTATGTACAATTAAATTGCATAAAATTGTAGGTAAAAACAACTTTCAAACAATGAAGTAATCTGCTGTCACTGTTATCGCATAAATTTTTCCTTTCCTTTTTGTGTATTTGGTAATTTGTTTTGTTTTATGCCACTGATTTGTGATAATAATTTTTCCATCATTCTGCAGTAAACAAATATAACTCCTTTTTTCTTTCTTTCTTTTTTTTTAAAAAAAAAGATGACTCATTATTTAATCTACCCCAGTTAATTGGGATTTTGACATTATTTTAAAAATAGATTAAGTTTTAAGATAAGTACATAACTACTTTTTGCCACTTATATTTTCTGATTTTTTTTTTTTTTTTTTTCACTTCCCAAGTCTTCAGCTCCACTTGTAATTTATTTCATGCAGAATTTATTACATTTTCAATGCAGTAATGCTTTTTCAGATTTGTGCAAATGCAGCTCTATGTTCTGTTGATATGACTAAATTCTTGTATAAATTTGCCAACCAAGGGTGAAAATAAATGTACCGGTATGGATGTAAAATGATGACCACCTCTGAAAGTGACCAATAATTTTTAGAACATTAGGAAAAAGAAATTTTTATTTAACATGTTTTTTGATGTTCTGTAAGATGACCACCTCCACAGAAGATCAAAATTATTTTAAACAGTGAAGTGCCTCAATGAAAATTTATGACACTTTAAAACTTTCTCAAAAATAAAAATTATTGTGATTTAAATTTTGATAATACATTTCTTCAGTTCTAATGATTATTCTGAAATTTTGTAGTTTTGAGCTTAAATTAAAAATATAATTTTTATGCTTTTATAATATTATGGGTATAATGGAATATATTGTAATTTTATGAAGTGTTAGTACCATTGAAGTTTCTTTTTTGGTAGCCATTATCTCCTCAAGAATGGAATGCTCCAGAAATATGGTACAATGTGTCATACAAACCTGCTAATTCTGATGCTAAGTTCCAAGAACTCTCATTAAAAAGTTGGCATAATATTGGTTTGTTTGTGATAAATGTTGGAGAAGAGAACTACTACAAACCATATTTAGTAAAGGTGCAAGCTATCAATAGCATTGGGCCTGGGCCTTATAGTGAAGAAGTAGAAATATATTCAGCTGAAAACAGTAAGTTTTTAAAATTTGAATATTCTTATTTGCAATTTTTTAAATCATGTTTATTTGAAAGCATTTATACTACTTAAAAATAATTATTAAGTTGAAACTTTATTGCTATTGTAATTGATTAATGGAATATGTGTAAGTTTCCTTGGTTATTTCCCCCAAATTTAAATAAATCAGTTATTTCTTTTAATTAATTAATTTATTTTATTTATTTTTGTAATATTTAGTTCCACAAGTGCAGCCTTCTCAGGTATATGCTGTTCCGTTCAATTCAACTGCTTTGAATGTTACTTGGGCTCCATTGGAGTTGAACAGAGAAAAGATTCGTGGAAAACTTATTGGATACAGGGTGAGTTGAATTCTGATTTTATACAAAATTAATCCTAATACTTCAAAATACTGACATAAGTCTAAAGAAAATCTTAAATTTAATAATAAATCAATAATATCTTTATTCTGAAGAGCAGTCTTTAATTTCATTATTACTATAAAAAAAAGCTAAGTATATAAAATAGACTGTTCAATAAAACTAATATTTTTTAAATAATCAAAAGGTATTTTTATTTTTTATTTTTATCAACAACAGTAACACAAAGTCATAAAAAAGGTGAACCTGTTTGAAGTAGCTGTAAATCACCGCAGATTTGGAAGAAGAATTTGTCAAAAATCATTCTTGTAGGTTTTTATGCCAAAGTAATTTAAAAGTCTCGAATTATTGACTGTAGGGAATGGGTGAAGTAACTATGATATGCACAGAAGCTTTTTTGAATAATAATGACAGAGCATCTTTAATAAGCCAATTTTGATGAAGATGATATATAACTGAACAATAAAAAACACAGCACATGTTATGTTGTACATAGAATATAAATCTGTTTTGCGCAATTTTAAGATCATTTGTCAGTCACTTATTGCAAAATCCCTTTGTCACTCTTATTGCAATCACAACAGACATGATTAAGCATGCACATATGGAAACAGAACATCATTTTAATATCTGGTGAACAACCGGTGTAATATATATTCAGATTTACTAATTATATGGGAAATAATATGAACTTCCATGTTTATTTAGCAGTATAAAATGTTAAGTTACCTCAAATACTATTTCTAATAAGACTGTTTAAAATTAGGTTCATCCCCCCCAGTTAATGTGCATTCTATTTAAATCAGTATTAAGATACTGAATAAAAGATAAAGTTAATTACGTAAGAATAAACAGTGAATCAGAAAAATTAATGATCTTTTTCAGTTGGGGATCACTTTTATAAATTAGACTCTTGTTCCCTTCGAAAGCAATTTTTTATATATATATTATGGTATATTTTTATTTTTTAAATACAGTTAATTAAAATTTATATTTATTACATTAATAGAAGAAAATTTATATTCATTTTTAATAATTCAAGATTATTAGAGTTTGTATAATCTTTATTTTATTAACTAAAAATCAAATAAATGTTGGTATGCATATTAATTTAGATGAGTTTGCAGATTCTTGCATGGCTGTTCTGTAAATAATAATAAATGTGTAAGGCTTTAAATACCTCTTTTGTTGCTAGGAGTAGGAAGCCTTTAGATACAATAATTGATAATAAATTTTGTAAAATTTCATTCTTAGGAGGAAAAAGGGGTATATGATTGCTATGAGTAATTTCCAAACTCTGAGATTTTAAACTGTAGTGCAGTATATGCAATTTATCAAAAAAATATTTTTGTTGGTTTTTTTTTTGAAAATTTGGGAAACCACGAAAGAAGACTTTGAGGACCATGGTTTGAGAAACTCTATGCTAGAAGAATTTAAATACTTTAAAAATAATAAGATTTATAACTAATAAGATTATTATTTATAAATGGCTTCTTTTATTTAAATTCATTGTGTTAAATTTTTTAAATCTGTATTTATGATTTTTCTTTGCTTTTTAGATTAAATACTGGCAAAAGGGAAAGGATCGTACTGCTGATTCTCTTATTTTGCTGAAGAGAGGACTGGAAAACTGGGGATTAATTGTAGGTTTACAGCCCAATACTGAATATTATGTTGCAGTCATGGCATATAATGATGCGGGAAGTGGTGTCGAAAGTGCTGCATACTTATCAAGGACATTTAAAGCAGGTAATTTAAAATTCAATTTTCTGTTTTAATAAAGTAGAATTTCCAGCTGCACTCCTTATGCAAAAACTCTGTTTTAGAATTTATATAGAAAAAAATTCTTCTAGTTAGAAAATTTGTTACTTATTGGTTACTTGATACCTTTAATACATTACTAAAAATAGAATCCTTGACTGATTTTTATAAGTGTTTGGCAGTCCTAGAAGCTGTTACATATTTTGCAAAGATGTTAATTTTTTTTTTTTTGTTAATATTCTATCTTTTTGGAGGGTGGGGTGTTGAATTCAAGTGATGTTGCGTGGTTGCAAAGTATTTTTTATTTTGACATTTTGCTAAGCCTCAGTCTTTTTATACATTGACCATGTGCACTAAAACCAGTCCCCTTAACCCTTTCCGGCGCAGTTTGTTCGGTGTGAACATACCAAAAATATTCTTTAAACACTGAAAATTATCGATAAGTTTCACGAAAACTACATTAATGGTTACTTTTAATCTCTTTTATGAATAATAGATGGCAGTACCACACAAGCAAATCATTAACATTGAGATATATTCTGTTTTTAAAGACACTGATTTTTCCAAGAAATGTCTCAGATTTTTTTTTAAATATAAAGAATACCAATGAAAAAAAAATCTTTATATAATTTTGTTGTTTGTATTCTATTCTGCCTATTCTGTATTACTTTAAATTTTTATCTTTGAAATATTGCATATAGCTTCAGTGTATGGTGTGTTCAGACTGTACACACTGTACTGGTAGTGCCTGTCATCTGGGAGTGAGTCACAGAACCTGGTCTCATGCTTCAAACCCAGGGGAGGCTGAGAGCGCATATTTATTTATATATTTGTTTTTATTTTTTTCTGTTTTTGGTTTTGAAGACCCTGGTGCTTTGTTATCACCTAGCTATTTGATTTTCAGCGAGAGGACCCTTTTTTTTTGTCTTGCTTTCATCGTGTGTAGTTTGCTTAGTTTTGACTTCTGTAGATTTTTATTTGTATATATATTTAATAATTATTTTTCTAATCAATAATTAATTGTAAACATTATAATATTTTAATTATTTTTCTTATAAATTTTAAAATTGTGTAAATCGCTTGGAGAGGCCGAAGCAATGAGAGTTTCCTTTTTTTCGCCGGTTTTTTTTGGGGGTGTGTAGAGTAGCAGGCCTCCCTGTGGTGCACACTGGGTTATGCTAAATCTGCTACAGAGGTCAGATTCTACTGTTTTTAAATCATAGAGAAAGTATTTTACTGTAATACGTGCTTCAAGCAATGCTCACCTATCGCAGCTCGTGCGGCTCAGTGTGTTCGCTTCGCACATACTCACAAAATGGAAACGGTTTGTGCAATCTTTTTTAAATTATACCTGCATACTCTCCTAGGCCTAAATAGACTGCCTAATAAATTTTTTGGGTAAAATTCCAACTTTAAAGAGTAGCGTGCCGGAAAGGGTTAACTTTGAAAATACTCATTGATTGCTCTTCTGTGTAACGCAGCTCCTATTTTAATTGGTTCTATAAATACAAAAGAAAACGAAACAGATCACTTAATCCTTCTTTATAAAAGTTAACTGGTTTATTTAAGGATTAGGATTAAAAATGCTAAACAAAAATCTTGCAAATGTGTTGTGTCATGCTTATCTATTATTGACACTAAAATCGCATTGTTTGCGGACGTTTTTTTAATTTGTCGAAAATGGCCAAGGAAAAATATACAAGTAACTTATGCATTTTCAAATTCCTAACTATATAGTTTGGAAAAATATGTTATAGTTTTTTATGATCACTGTTAACGGTATGATTACATTTTTTATAAACCAAACTATAAATTTCAGCTCCCTTGCGTCCACCTACAAATGTTCGAATTGAAGCTATAACTCCAACAAGTGTATCAGTGTCTTGGAGAGGTGTGTTACCTTCTACTGAAGAGGAACCCATTAGAGGTTACAAGGTAAGCATTCTGTCTCACATGCAAAAAATTATGTGAATGAATTATTAATAAATAGCATAAATTCTAAATATAGTAAAATGTATTAATTCAAGAATTATATATTTTTTAAAAAAATTCTCAATAAAACACAATTTTATTGTTAAAAAGGAAATGTGAAAATCTCCACATGGATGTTTCAATATTCTTTTTATCATGCAATTGCACTGAAGCTTGACACATATCTCAAAATATCTCGTTGCGTCATTTTTCATGTGGCATATAGTAAAGTGTATTAATGCTAATTATTTATTTAATATGGAAATATATGTATTACAAAGTTAAATTGTTTTCATTGGCTTTTACATGTATTCGAGTTTATAAAGAAACTAGTATCTGCCTCATCAAACTGGGTAAAATCTAGCTGGAGAAGGAAAATGACATGCAGAGATGTCTTTAAGGCAAAACCAGGAGCTGCATATGCCACCTCTGGTGGTTATGATATATATGATTTAAATATATGTGTATCATAGACAAAGTATTTTACTGTAATACGTGCTTCACAGCAATGCTCACCTATCACGCTTATGCAAGTGTTTTACAAAATTCTATAAAAAGTTACCGTGTTAAACATTTTTAGAATCCTTTAGAATTATGGCATAATTTTATATGAATTCTGAGATCTTCTACAGAACTCTATAAAATTTTACATGTACAGTACAAAGTCTGTAATCCGGACCTCAAAGCTACAAACATTATGCGCATGCGTAAACACGTTACGTGTTTACGCATGCGCATAATGTTTGTAAACACATTACGTGTTTACGCATGAACGTTTAAATTATAATGGATGGTATAAGCTAGGCTAAAATTACCTAAGGCATTTCAGTAAATGTTGCAGATTGCTCTGTTCCTTAATCTTCTAACTGGATCCGGCTTATTATTTTTTGCAGACTGTTAGAACAATTTTATAAAAAATTAAGCTTGAACTTTCGATTATGTCAAAAAGTGTTTCCAATTCTGGAGCTGCCAAAGGATCTACAAAGCCAAAGCATGTTTCGATGTCCATTAAACAAAAAGTGGAATTGCTGCAAAAAATGGATAAAGGTCTATCCGTCTCCAAATTATGCGAGAAGTATGGCATTGGAAAGTCCACTATATATGACACAAGAAAATGGCACTTTTTGAATTTTTTGTGGAAGCATCTTAAACAACTTACATTGAAAGAAATGTTTAATAAAGTAAACAAATATTAAGCTCTTTTTTTTTTTTTTTTTTTTTTTTTTTTTTGTAAATTTTGATACCCTTTAGATTATAATTGCTCTTTATTTCATAAATTACGGTTTCATATTTTTAATTGTATAATTTCTGCATGCCATCTTGCCAGATTTAAATTGATGATCTATAATAATCCAGAAACGCTAAAGTCCCGACGTGTCCGGATTATGGACTTTGTACTGTAGTTTATATATTCCATTCTGTAGAGATACATAGAAATTTATGCAGAGGTTCTATAAAAAAAAATTCCAATTTCTAAAGGTCCTACATATAGAATCGCTTATATAATATGTTAGAATCAACTAATAAAACTTTACTGAGAATTATCAGATCTAGCTGATAGACAATTGGGCCATAATTCTTAAAAATTCTAAATATGTCTCCCTGCTTTAATTTTTTTGTTAATAAAAAATGTTATAGGAGCTTTTGAGTGCTTAAAAGCATAAAATCAATAAAATTTTCGTTTGGAATTTACAAGAGTTAATTAAATTTAAATTTTTAATTGAATTTTGTAACCTACATTTTAAAATAATCTAAGACTTGAAGGCGAGAAAACCTTTTGGAACCAATGTGATTTTTTCCTAATACAAAATTTCCATATTGTTTTGATTTAAAAATATTTTAGTTAAAAATAAATACATTTTAGATAATAGTTAATATTAATAAACCTTTTTCTTTTCAGAGATACATACTATGTTGTAATTAAAATTTTATAATTAACACCATAAATTTAATCTTTTAACTAATTTTATGATTTAAATTGATTTTACAAGATTAAAATTTTGTATTATATTAAGCCTGTACAAAAAATTGCACAAAACACTACATAATTTTAAAAGTTAAAAACATTAAACTAATGGAAAAAGGGCAAAAATTTCCATTCAGAAGTGATTCAGATTTTAAGTGTTTATTTTTATGTTAGAAATTTAAAATTTCCAATTTCAAAACTTTGCAGATTTTTATGGAAGAGAAAAGGTTTTTAAAATTTCTCTATAATTTTTCAAAGCAACATTTCTGTAGAATTCTATTCTGTGAGAAATTTCATAGAAAAGCATTTCTATAAAGGATTACCTATAAAGTTCTATAGAGAATATTCTATATGTTTCTATAAAATATTTTTTATAAGAACTACTTTGAATGGCTGTTATGCAGTGGAGCATTTCTGCATCAGTTGTGTTGAAAGGTATCGTTATATGTGATGAAATTATAGAAAATTATATGCAATATATAAATTCAATGTATGAAAAGTTAAGTACAAAAATTACAGAATATAGATTCTCAGACAGTAATTGCATCAGTAAGGGCAGTAAATTCTTAAAAAGATTTTCTAGCATTGAAAATTGTGCAGTGGCCCATGATTTAAAATTACATATTGCAGTCAAATTAGTAAGAAGTTTCCTTTGCATGCTCAGTATGATTAATATGTAAGCCATTCCAGACATATTATATCTTTGAATTCCAGGTATTCATAAATAATGATGAATAATAATAACCACATTAAGGACAAGCTTTATGATCAATTAATGAAATCTTTGATATGATGACATTCTCATAAATGTAATTTTGCTAGTAAATACAAGGTGTGACACACACACGCACAAAAAGAGACTGGTCCAATAATTCATTGTACTTACAGAATCAGTTCTCTGCGACATTATCACCTTCAAAGTAGTTCCCTTCTGCATTTGGTGCTGCCATTTTCGGTACAGTTCTGAAACGAGGTTTTTGGAAGGCCCTTCAGGAGATTCTCCATTTTTGACTAAACCTCTTCAGCTGAGGTAAAATGGGTTTCCTTTAAGTAAAATTTAACTTTAGGAAATAAAACAAAATTTGCCAGATCAGGTGAATAAGTAGAATGCTCCATTACAGTAATGTTTTTGCTGGTCAGAAACTGCTTGACAGATAGGGTCGTGTGAGCAGGTGCATTGTCCTGGTGCAACAGCCATCCATCACTCCACAACTGTGGCCTTTGTTTTCCTAATTTTTTCCCAAAGAGTACTTCAGTATAGTAATATTGATTAACAGTCTGACCACAGGGAACCCATTCATCATGAAGAACTTGCTGAGCGCCCAAGGAGGAGCCCAGCACGTTCATCATCTTCCACACTGTCCTTTACCCCTGAAAACTGCTTTATGCCATTCAAACACACGTGCATGAGATAAAGTTTCATCTCCATAAGCCTCAGTTAACATTTGAAATGTTTCTTCTTAGGCTGATTTCTTAAGATTCACTAGAAATTTGATGTTGATTAGCTGTTCGGTTTTTTACATTAGACATTTTTTATGGCAAAATGCAGTTAAATACGCTCACTCAATGATGCAGTACTCCCCACTGGCATGGTTGGTTAAGTTGAAACTGGTTGCATGGATAGATGAGGTGTGTGGAATGACGTCACCAAAACAGTTTTTGCCATCTCCGCTCTGTTTTCAAGCTACACAGTCTTTTTTTTTTTTTTTTTTTTTGTGTGTGTGTGTGTGTGTGTGCGTGTGTCACCTCGTATATAGAGTTGTGCTACCCTTACATTATAATAATAACATGAGGACTCATATACATTCATTATAATTAATTTGTGTAGTGTTGATTGAATGAAATATGCCATTGCGGTTTACAAGAAGAGCAAGCAGCAAGAATTTTTCTCCTTGCAAAATTGGGATTCATTAGTAAATGGTTGTTGCTTCTCTATTATGTGCTCCAAGAATGTGTGTGATTATTCATAGCAGTTGTATTATCAGTAGCTTGGGAAGTGCATTAACATTAGTTTGGTATACAAATATTGGCATCCTTAAATTTAATTTATTTGAAACATTTCTAGTTAATATCAAGTAATATAATCGGCTAGCAGAGGGATCAGACTGTTGTGTATTGTGGTTCTTGATAAATTTCTAGCTTAATTTCTCCTTATAATGAGAGTTCTTTAAGATATCAGTATAAAATTCATAAATGAGAATCCACAGTAAGACATATATTTAACTTTACTGGCAGATTCAAAAGGAAATAACCAAGTAATTTGATTAAGACACCTATCAGTTTCTAGTAACTCTACATTTCTGTGTGCAGCATTCACAGAAATTGCTGTACAAGCTCTGAGAAACTTAGAAATGCCCAGTGAACTCTTTAAACATAACATATTAAAAAAATATTATCCTTTTTCAATCTGTAGTAGTTACAAAAGAAATCTCATTCTTTTTTCCCCTTTCAGGTTCGTTATTGGGAATCAGATCAAGATATGACATCTGCAAAAGAAGTTTATAGATATCTGGATGGCAATGATCTTCAGGTTGTGGTATCTGGTCTCACAATGGGTAAAGTTTACAAACTTCGAGTGCTTGCATTTAGCAATGGAGGGGATGGAAAGATGTCATCTCCTGTCCGTGAATTTAAATTAGGTTTGTAATGGGTTTATGCATTCGATCATGTATTTAAGTTCATATCTGAAAAATATATGGAACCAATAAATATCCAAACATAAACAAACTAAATTTTATTGATTTTAATTTTTTTTTAAATTTTTATTTCAGATATTCAGATTAAAATTTTTTAAACACATTTATTGAATATTGTCAGTTAAACTGGTTTTTGACATTAATCTGAATAACTGCTTTTTAGACCTATTTTTGTATGAAAAATATGTAAGAAACATTTTAAAAGTAAGATATTTTTCTCTCAATCATGCCTTGCAGAAACATCTAATCAAATTTTATATGAGGGGTGTTCAAATGAAAAGGTATGAAATGTCAGCACTTAAGTATGCCACTTCAGGATAACTTAGTGAATCATCTAGTAAAAGTAATATCCGATGTAGTTCTGCGCTTGGTCGGGCATCCACATAAGACACAGGATAGAAGTAAGCAGTTGTATGTTCCATCCAATTGATGTGGCAGTGCATGTGAGGATATCATGGCTTTCACATTGCAAAGTTCGACTATTGTGAAGATCAGAATACAGAAATCTGGTGTGCGAAAAAGATTAAACTGGCTGATATTCTTTGCCAGTTGTCGGCCTTAAAGTAGAATGCCCATTTTCGTGAAAGTGTTTGAGTGATGACCTGAGATCAGGCTTGGCAAACCTCGTAATCATGGCTAAACTCATTGCCAAAAAAAGTGAATGACCTGGTGACAAGTGATTGGTGTGTCACAAGCAAATGTTGGCAGTGATGATGCATAACACGTGGGTTAACAGAAGGTGTGCACGTAGTGGTTCCGAAGAAGCTTAGTGAACTGCAGAAGGAACTGTATATGGGGCTAGTTCTGCAACACCTGTTCCGGTAGCATGAAGACCCTGCTTTCTTGGAGCGGATCATCACTGTTGATGGGAGCGTCAAGCTAGAGACAAAATGGGACAACATGCAGTGGAAGCATGCGTCGTCACCTTCCCTTAAAAAATTCAAAGCTGTGCCCTCAGCATTCAAGGTGATGTTCATCCTCTTTTTTAATGTCCGAGATTTGAAGTCATCGAATTCCTTGAGCACAGAAAAAAAATTAACAGTGATGTGTGTTATGAGACACTCCGTATCTTAGGCTAGTCCTTCAAGAGCAAATGGTGTGGGCTGCTCACAGAGGGAGTAATTCTGCTCTGCGGTAACACACTTCCACATATCTCCAAGTTCACACAAAGTGCGATGGCCAAGTCCAATTTGGAGTAGCTTGAGCGTTCACCCTATAGCCTGGACATGTCACTTTGTGACTTCCATGTGTTTGGTCTACTAAAAAACATCTCAAAGGGGGGAGGCACTTCAAATCAGACGACGAATTGAAGGACACAGTGGAAGACTGGCTCCTGTCACAGCCACAGGAATTCGGGTGATTGCTTATGAATAAAGACTTCAATTATACCCTCAGTGTCATTTTGCACCTTTTCACTTGAACACCCCTATTATCTGTACAATGTGTTTGAAAGAATTGTTTGTAGGCTGTATTTTGTTAATTTTTTGTTCTTTGCTTGATTTATGTAAGAGCAAATGGGGTTATATAACACTAGCTCCCTAAACACTCTTTACTAATTAAATATGTAATTTAGAGTAGAAATAAAGTTTTTGTACTATTTTTTTTTTTTTATCATCTGTGTTCTATCAAAAATAAAAGGTGCTTTTCAAAAATATAAATACATAAATAAAGAAAAGGAAATTTGCCTTGAATTGTCATTAATAAGGGAGAAGGTGTGTATTTTGTACAAAGTATAGTAATGGTTCAGTTTTATTGCATGAATATTAAATGCTCCTTATTTTATTTATCTGTGCATTGAGCAATGCTTTGATCCCTATCTCACATTTTTAATGTTTATATTTTAAGTATTGTAATACTTTATAACATGCACTTATCTTTTGTACTTTTTAATGCTTCATTAATGTATGTAAATAATTTTAATAAGTATATTTCTTCTTACTTTTGAATTTTATAATAATTATATTATTTATTTACTTAAATTTTAACTGTAACAATTGGGAGGGTTAACGTCTGTACATATAGAGGGCCAGTTTAAAATGTTTTTTAATGACAAGAGTTAAAGAATACATTTTATTTAACCAATATTAAAAAATACATCTTGGAATAATAAACATGGACCATTTCAAGAAGCTATTAATTAATATTTACTTCAAATTAACCTATCTGTATAATTTTGAAGAACGAATAACATTCAGACTAAATGTAAGATAACACTTATAAGAAATTCAAAATGCCGTTTTAATTAAATATCCTTATAAATATTAACCCTTTACTGTCCACTACCCTTTAAATTTGGAATTTCAACAAGAGAAGTTACTTAGGTCTAAAGGAGTATGCAGGTATAATTTTGTAAAGATTGTACCTAAAGTTTTCATTCTATGGGTGTTCCCTCAGCAGGAACACTGTGCCACCAGAACTCTTAAAAGTGCGTCAAAGCAAGCATCGCAATGAAGCTCGTAAATGAATAGAAACTTTTGCATATGAATGCAAAAACACTATATTATACCTGTGTAACTGATTTAGCTTGACCCAGAGTATACCATGGAGAGGCCTGATACTCTACACCCCATCTTCCTTCCAAAAAACCTTGGTGATAATATTTTTTTTGAAATAATGAGATAAGTATTTGCAATTCTTGCATATATATTCAAGTCCCATGTATAAAAATATTTATAATCTTCTATTTTGTGGCCTCATGAAATTTTTCGAAGCACGTCGCACGCTTCTGGCAAAAGCACAAACCAACATTGCTGGCTTTGCACATGAATCTTGTTTTGTGCAGCTTTACTTTCGTGCTACAGTAGGCTCATCACTTGCAAGTAACCTTCACTGGCATGTGTTCAACATTGTTGTATTGTTTATCTGTGGAAACCTCTATTTTAAAACTAGGAGTATCTTCAGCATAGTTGTTTTAGAGTGCTTCATGACACAGAGAGAGTAAAGCAAATTCAGCTGTTAATTACAGCTACATCTAGAAAATTGAAGAATATGTGATATCACCACTTCATTTCCCTAGACACAAAAAGTGAATACAAATGCTTTCTTTCTTCGTCATGTTCAGTTGTGTAAGAACAGGCTGTGCAGTGTTGAGGGAACATTCAATTTTATTCAATGATTCTTCATATTTCCTGTACAAAAAATTAAAAATAATATGGAATAAATAGTTTAGAGTATATCCAATGATATAACAGAGAAATTTGTTTGAAGCAATCTTTATTGTATCAAATATATTTATATATGTATATGATGTACTAGCTTTAGTCGTAGCTTAAATTATCAGACGATAAGTTTAAAAAAACAGGATCCATTTATTATTATTCAGGAGAAAATAGCAGGTACAAAATCAGATATCCGGAGTAAATAAAAAGAATTACTAATAACTTTTTGTATGAAGTTTACTGCATCGTGACATTTAAGAAAAAGCCCCGATATTCTTTCTCGAGTCCTTTTATAGCCTCTGGAAAGGCGGAGCTTCCAAGAAATGTCATCAGCCAATCCAGTTCGCTTTAAATATTTCGAGAACATTATATAACTGTACGTGTAGAAAAGGCGGGAAAAACAACTTGGCTATGGGGCTCTGGATTTAATTCAACGTACTTTCAAATAAGAGACCGTCGCCATTAAAAATGGAAAGAACATACAGTTAGAATTTTAAGTGTATTCTTGACTATGGAATTTTATTATTACATGTATATATGTCATAATAAAAGCAAAGGAAAAGACGGAACACTGTAGATGCGGTGATTAGACCCAAACTGAAGAAGAATTTGATTGCGTAGTATTTAAAGAACTTGGCACTCGAGGCAGTTTTAATTCCATTTTTATTTCCAGTTGATATTTGTGGCCACAATCACTTGGCACTCTAGTCGTGCCTTTCCACAGAAGATTTACATTTTTGATATTGTTGGGATAGAAAGCAAGCCAGCGAAATTACATCTTAGCAGAGTAGAGGGAAAAAGCTGAAGTGCGTAGTTATGCAAGATGGAGGCATGCGAAGAGAAAAGTTTTGGTTTACAAGGACAGTTTCAGTTCCCAATGAATACGTCATCAGAGCTACGCCGATCATAGAGTGATCTAGAAATGACGCAATGCAAAGAAGTTATTACGATTTTAGAATAGAGAGAAAGAATTATTGTTTTATAGTTTAATCTATAATTTTGATTCATATATTTTTATCTTACATATTCCCCCCTTCAAAAAGAAAAAGGCGTAGCGACAGAGAAGCCTTTTTTAAAGAGAAGAGTTAAAGCACTAGCAAATGTAAAAAAAAAAATAAATAAATCATAAAATTTTTGTCCTGTAAAGTATAATTTACAAATATCAATTTTTTAAATAAATTTTTAATTTTTAGAGTCCTATTGAATTTTTCAGCATTTCAGTCCAAAAGTCTTTTTGTTTGTTCAGAAAAACAAAAGTTCACATAATCATAATTCTTCAGGAAAGGTTCTTGTTATTGCAGAATATCACAAAATAAACTTTTACATAATCATTACTTATAATTAAATGCAATGCACACATAAATATTTATGATACTAATTTTTATACTTGATAAATTATATTTTAACATCATAAATAATAGGATTAAGATTTTCAGAATTTATATGGTTTCACCGTGTTATCATCTTTCATTTACAATTCCTGTATTTTACCAAACTGGGAAGGCCTCGCAATACTTCTAAACAAACCATATCCATCAATAGGGCTGTCCTCTTTGAGCTAACCAGTGTGTTCTATGCACTGGTGGCCCAGGGTGCCTAGGCAGTTACTTTGAAAAGGCCTCCGTTCCTCGCATTAAGGTAACTGGCCTTTGAGAACTGCACTAATACATTCCATAATAAAAAAATATAATAATAATATAAAAAAATTACACCATTCATAAATGAGAGCCTCCAACATTATCTTGCATGAAGAGGTAAAAGGAACAACTGTACAGAGGTAATTACAAGCCTCTGTTGAAGGAACCCAGTACTCCCTCGACATACTACTAACTTAACATACAATCACCCCATAAATTTAACATGCATTTACCATAATTTCATATTACGTATCTGTAATAATTTCACTTATTTTTTTACAACCTACTTCATTTTTAGAATACTTATAAAATTCGTATTCAAAATTCTCAACAAAATTTCAAAAACATAAAAACTTATCTTAATATCCTTCCCTATGAATAATTTAAATAGCTTAAAATTCGTTACTTAATTTGCTCACACATAATTATGAAAATTAGAAAAATTAATGAACAAGAATTTCAGATTTTCTCAAAACAAATTGCAGAAATTTTAAACCAAAGTTTGAAATGAAACTATACAAATCCGCAGCACATTAAATAATTTAGTTCCTGAGCTAGATTCACACGAATGTAATAATTTTTGAGCTGTTGAAAAAGCGGAAGTGCAAATAATTTTCTGTCGCACATACTTGCAAACACTAACTCAGATCGACCTTGAACCCGCTGTAATGCTTAATTCCTAAACGGTAATTCACTGATGATTTCCTTTTCACTAGGCATTCGAACTTCTCAATTTATCGAGATATTACTTTCAATCTGTAAACACTACGCGTGATTATTTTTTTGAAGCACTTGCAAAACACCACAGCAGAAGAATGATCTGTTATTTTTTAAACACTGAAAAAACGAGAAGAATGATGTGTTATTTTTTAAACACTGAAAAAACAAACTTGATGATTCACTTATTTCACATTATCTTGGATTTATCACAAAACGATGATTTGAAGAGCTGAATTAAATTTTCCATTGAGGTTTCAGGCTGCAGGAAACTATCCTTCCCGGCTTAATTGTCATAATAAAAGCAAAGGAAAAGACGGAACACTGTAGATGCGTGATTAGACCCATACTGAAGAAGAATTTGATTGCGTAGTATTTAAAGAACTTGGCAGTCGAGGCAGTTTTAATTCCATTTTTATTTCCAATTGATATTTGTGGCCACAATCACTTGGCACTCTAGTCGTGCCTTTCCACAGAAGATTTACATTTTTGATATTGTTGGGATAGAAAGCAAGCCAGCGAAATTACATCTTAGCACAGTAGAGAGGAAAAAGCTGAAGTGCGTAGTTATGAAGATGGAAGGCACACGAAGAGAGAAAAGTTTTGGTTTACAAGGTCAGTTTCAGTTCTTAATTATTACGTCATCAGAGTTGTGCCGATCATAGAGTGATCTAGAAATGACGCAATGCAAAGAAGTTATTACGATTTTAGAATAGAGAGAAAGAATTAATGTTTTATAGTTTAATCTATAATTTTGATTCATATATTTTTATCTTACATATTCCCCCCTTCAAAAAGAAAAAAGCGTAGCGACAGAGAAGCCTTTTTAAAGAGAAAGAGTTAAAGCACTAGCAAATGTAAAAAAAAAAATAAAATAAATAAATCATAAAATTTTTGTCCTGTAAAGTATAATTTACAAATATCAAATTTTTTTAAATAAATTTTTAATTTTTAGAGTCCTATTGAATTTTTCAGCATTTCAGTCCAAAAGTCTTTTTGTTTGAGAGTTCACATAATCATAATTCTTCAGGGAAAGTTCTTGTTATTACAGAATCTCACAAAATAAACTTTTACATAATCATTACTTATAATTAAATGCAATGCACATAAATATTTATGATACTTATTTTTATACTGATAAATTATAATTTAACATCATAAATAATAGGATTAAGATTTTCAGAATTTATGGTTTCACCGTTATCATCTTTCATTTACAATTCCTGTATTTTACCAACTAGGAGGCCTCGCAATACTTCTAAACAAACCATATCCATCAGTAGGGCTGTCCTCTTGAGCTAACCAGTGTGTTCTATGCACTGGTGGCCCAGGGTGCCTAGGCAGTTACTTGAAAAGGCCTCCGTTCCTTGCATAAGGTAACTGGCCTTTGCGAACTGCACTAATACATTCCATAATAAAAAAAATATAATAATATAAAAAAATTACACACATTCATAAAATGAGAGCCTCCAACATTATCTTGCATGAAGAGGGTAAAAGGAACAACTGTACAGAGGTAATTACAGGCCTCTGTTGAAGGAACCAGTACTCCCTCGACATACACTAAACTTAACATACAATCACCCATAAATTTAATATGCATTTACCATAATTTCATATTACTTATCTGTAATAATTTCACTTATTTTTTACACCTACTTCATTTTTAGAATAATTATAAAATTCGTATTCAAAATTCTCAACAAAATTTCAAAAACATAAAAACTTATCTTAATATCCTTCCCTATGAATAATTTAAATAGCTTAAAAATTCGTTACTTAATTTGCTCACACATAATTATGAAAAATTAGAAAAATTAATGAACAAGAATTTCAGATTTTCTCCCAAAACAAATTGCAGAAATTTTAACCAAAGTTTGAAATGAAAACTATAGAATCCGCAGCACATTAAATAATTTAGTTCCTGAGCTAGATTCACACGAATGTAATAATTTTTGAGCTGTTGAAAAAGCAGGAAGTGCAAATAATTTTCTGTCGCGCACATACTTGCAAACACTAACTCGGATCGACCTTGAACCCCCGCTGTAATGCTTAATTCCTAAACGGTAATTCACTGATGATTTCCTTTTCACTAGGCATTCGAACTTCTCAATTTATCGAGATATTACTTTCAATCCGTAAACACACTACGCGTGATTATTTTTTTGAAGCACTTGCAAAACACCACAGCAGAAGAATGATCTGTTATTTTTTAAACACTGAAAAAACAAGAAGAATGATCTGTTATTTTTTAAACACTGAAAAAACAAACTTGATGATTCACTTATTTCACATTATCTTGGATTTATCACAAAACGATGATTTGAAGAGCTGAATTAAATTTTCCATTGAGGTTTCAGGCTGCAGGAAACTATCCTTCCCGGCTTAATTGTCATAATAAAAGCAAAGGAAAAGACGGAACACTGTAGATGCGTGATTAGACCCATACTGAAGAAGAATTTGATTGCGTAGTATTTAAAGAACTTGGCAGTCGAGGCAGTTTTAATTCCATTTTTATTTCCAGTTGATATTTGTGGCCACAATCACTTGGCACTCTAGTCGTGCCTTTCCACAGAAGATTTACATTTTTGATATTGTTGGGATAGAAAGCAAGCCAGCGAAATTACATCTTAGCAGCAGAGTAGAGGGAAAAAGCTGAAGTGCGTAGTTATGCAGATGGAGGCACGCGAAAAGAAAAGTTTTGGTTTACAAGGACAGTTTCAGTTCCCAATGATTACGTCATCAGAGCTGCGCCGATCATAGAGTGATCTAGAAATGACGCAATGCAAAGAAGTTATTACGATTTTAGAATAGAGAGAAAGAATTAATGTTTTTATAGTTTAATCTATAATTTTGATTCATATATTTTTATCTTACATATATATTATATTTCTTGTACATATGGTGATTTTAAATTATGCCTCACATCTGAAAATCATAATTGCCTTGTGTGGTGATGCCATCCATGATTGAAAAGGGAAGTTAAAATAAATGGTAAACCTATTTTCATCCATTTATAATTGAATTTAATGGTTTGAGAAGCTAGCCAAGTTGGGTGTTCCCCATATAGGAACACTGAGCAACAAAGGTGACCATAAAATATAATGTAAACTAATACACTCATTTACAGAAAGGCACCAGAGTCAGTTTTTATAGATGAAGCTATCAGGAATTTGAATGTTTGTGCATGGTGTTTGTATGTAACATGCAATGTGCCTGTGGTATTTTTTTATGTATTACATGCATGGCCAGACACCTAAAATATTTATTATAAAAAAGAAATATATATATAATTTTAACGAGTCCAGTTGATCTATTCTCATGCTTAGTTAGTAATTAATAATAATAAAGAATTACATTTATTGCTTGGTTTGTTAATAGCAGAGAAATTAAATATCTTATGATTCGCCGAATCATAACAGACTTACGCGTGGAAGATGAAAGTATTTCATTTTGGGCAATGGCAACACAATACTGATAAATTCTGAGTTTTCTGATTAAAGTTTAACATAAATTATCATATACTTTACCAAGTGGCAACATTGCTTTTAAAATGTTGAGTTTGTTAATTAAAATGTCATTAAATTCACACAAAATGCGAAGTCAGAATTTTAAAAAATCAGAAATTCAAAATTTGGGCTTCAAAGTGCACGTGTTTGAGTGGAGGACATGTTAAAAATTCGCTGTTTTTAAGTGCCACCAATTTTCCACAGTGAAAGGAACATATACACATATAGAGTCTTCTTATTATATAATAATAGAAATAAAGTAAGGAAATTTAAGTGGTATATGTAATATTCTAAATATTTTGATTAAAAAAGAAGATTTGATAAGATTTTTTTCACATATTTGGCTTATAATTAAAATGTGTTTGGGAACAGAATGACACTCATGGAACCTTGGGCAAATTTTATTTTCCCTGTGCTAGGAGCTTAAATTGAAATATAAAATTTTCTATGCTAACTTACTGTATGTAAATGAAGAAATATTAGCATGCATTTTATAATATTATGTGTATTACATAATTTGTTTTAGATTTAATCTGTGTTAATTTCTTAAAATTTGTGTTATTATGTGTGGTATTATGTATTAAATCATAATTATATTTTTAGGAGAAGCATCGGCAGCACACTATACTATGTCTACTGGAAGCTGCTGTGCATACCATATACATGTTATTTTGGTTATAATCTTGGTTATGGTCTTCAATAGAGACTTTCTAGTAAGTGTTTGATTAGCCTTCCTGTCTGCTGATACTAATAATAAGGTTCACTATAAAATTCCAGGTATGATGCTAGTGTAAGGAAAGTTTAAGACTATTCAAAATAATTCATCTTCAGAAAACAAAATTTTTTTCTGTTCTGTCATGTTCAAAACTGATTTTATTATAATTTATTGGAATACTGTTCAATTAGGCATCATGGTTTTCTTGATGTGCTCAATATTCATGAAACTTTCTCTTCCAATGCAAATTTCAGTTTCGGAAACAGAAAAAATTTGGCTGATGCCAAGTCCACTAAGCAGAATGTGTAACTAAGCCCAGATTCTGCTTCAGGATTTTAGGCACCTAGGGGATCCTTACACATTTGGTGTTTCCTATATAAACTCAAGAAGCTAAAAATTCTAAGTAAATACAGTGTTATTTAGTTACTGCTTATAAAAAGAGCTTAAAATGCATTCTTCGAAAATTAGTGCCCTGGGTGGCTATGTCACCTGTGTTTGCAGTGAGATCTGTTTGAGCCTGGGATCTCCACATTTGACTAGGCATTGCATTACAGTCAGTGCCAAGTTTGCTGGTAAATTGCCATTGAGAAGGAACCAGGTGCTGCATTTTCACAAGTGATGTATTCTCACACTTCAATAATATGAAAATTACCATCATCAGGTGATTGAGAATTTCCAGATGGAAAGCATGATTAACCCTTTGCACTCGAGGCCTTTTTCGCTTGTGCGAACCGACAACTCGAGACAATTTTACCTAAGTCGACAAGCACTTTACAAGTACTTTTATTCATTTATATGTCAAAAACAACAAAGTTTGATAAATATTACATTCTGTAATTAGTTTTGGTATGATATTTTGTAAAACAATATCCAAGATGCATCCTAGGTTTGTCAGGACACGTATCACAGTAATATGAAATTTACCGCCTACCTCCAGGCGCGTTACAGTCAGAACAAACCTTGCAGTCTCTTTTTGGACCTTTGAGTATTATGTGCAACTTCCTGTTTATAATTCTCATTTTCTGTCATCATTCACACCTCTTACTGCATCACTGTCCTCTCCACTGGATTCGTTCGTTTCGCGGCGTAATCCATCGAAAATCGATGTAAGTTCATCATCCAAAGCGCCAAAATCGAATTCATCCGAACTCAAGCTGATCTGATCTTCCTCCATATCTTTAGGGCTCAAACACTTTTTGGTTACTATATTTAGTCCACAAAAATACTTTCGAGAAAAATATCTTATTGCACATTGTAAATAAGGAGATCGAGCTACAAAAGGCCATAGCGTCATAGCAGTTTCACTCGATTTAAGACTTTGAATCACTCGGGTGCCGCAGCACTCGGATGATCTGCCACTCAGATGATTTGCTTGAGTCAAATCAGCTCCGCTTGAGTATAAAGGGTTAAATTTCTCCACAATTTCTTTAAATTACCTAGTCCTTTAATGCTTTTCCACCAGTTCCTCGAGTCATCCTCGGTGTCTGTAATTTTGTTGCTGATTGTCGTAACTTGAGGCAAAAATTGTCTTCATCCCTGCTACCTTTTCTTTGCTATCAAAAATTAAGTATACATTTCAAACACAAGATTGTGTGGTAAGATATTGTCTCAGTGAGCAGTATTGATCATTTTATTGCTGATATGCCTTATTTTAGGCTAAATTTGGCATTCTTTCTCTGTTTCGTATGATGGAATCCATGATTTAAGAGCCAAGCTATACCAATCTTGATTACTGACTTTCAGAATTGGACAGAATTACACTTAACCAAATCTTTATATTGTTAGTTTGGTACATTTAATATTTACCATGTTGGCAACACCAAGTTTTTCTTCTCTGCATGCGAGCTATGGATGCCGTTGTAATGTTGTGCACATGTTGTTAAGTTTCAATAAAAAATGGGAAAAGATACGTTTCTTATTTTTCGACTTGCTTCTTCATATGATATCGGTTTATTTAACATGGTAGCAGTTCTCGTGGTTTGTGAATATTAATGAAGAATTTAGTAGTTATAATTTGTTTTAAAAGTTACTGGTACTAGCGTAAAAATGGCATGTACAAGAAGCAGTGATATCGGCATACCGCTATTTGATGGTTTGGACTATTTTAAATGGAAAGTGCGTATGATGAAATTAAAAAATTTTAAAGATGTGGTTCAGCGAAAAGTCAGTGAAAACAATGACGTGAAAAAATGGGAAGAAAAGGATATCCAATCTACAAATTACATTTACGGCGCCATAACAAACAAGCAATTGGAATATAGTATTCACGAGTGTGAGACTGCATTTGATATAATTACGAAATTTGATGCAATATATTTAAAAACTTCAACATCTCTACAAATTGTTTGATGAAATAACTTAGAATGTGGGAAACTGAAAAATTATCTCGATGTAAATATATTTTCGATGATTTTTAGAAGTATGTGAACGAGCTGAAACATGCCGGCGCACCGTGACGGAACAAGAAAAATTGAACTATATGCTAAGAGCATTACCTTCAAATTACAGTCACATTGGTGACTTAATAGATGTATTACCAGAGAAGGACAGAACAGTGCAACCTAAAGAGCAAAATCAAATCAAAATTACTTGAAGAGAAAAATGATTATGAAGATTGTGCACAGCAGAAAAATCAAATGCATTCAAAACTGAAACAAGCAAATCGGGTCCACAAGGGAATGTCTGTTATAATTGTGGAAAACCTGGTCACATTAAAAAGAATTGTTGGCATGTCCATCAAAGGGAACTATCGTGGTAATGGCTCCACTAATTATCGTGGTTGAAGTTCTTCAAACAATCGAGGACGTAGTCGTGTTTTTAGAATGGAAACATCGTGAACGTGGAGCATACTCTAAACCACAGAATAAACAGTCATCAAGGTAATAGTTTTCACATGACCATTGATGACTGTTGTTTTGTTATCGAAAGTAACATGACAAGTTCCAGTGCAAATACTGTGACGAATAAAAATGAAATCAATTGGTTACTGGATAGCGGATGCACAAAACCACATTATAAACAGTGATGAATATTTCAAAGAGCAAGTCACTTTGAAGGATCCTATTCAAGTGAAAGTCGGTGACGAAAGGATTTTGAAAGCTACAAAGGTTGGCAATATAATAGTTTCTTTTCCTGTATATAACTCTGAATCTATCGTAACATTGAAGAATGTATTTTATGTAAAAGAAATGAAAGCAAATTTATTAAGTTATTCGAAGATTACTGATAATCATAAAATAGTTTCAAAAGAAAAGTTTTCTAAAATATATGATGTCAATGGTTCATTAGTAGCAATAGCAAAGAAAGAAGAAAGATTACATAAAGTAAAGAGTTATGTTAAAAATAGTAAAATATTTGCAAATTTGACCAACAGTAAGTTAACGTTAAAAGAAAAATTGCACCATTCATTTGGACATGTAAATTTTAAATATCTGGATATTATGTGCAAAGATCAGCTATTAGAAGGAATCCCTAACGAAATAGAAACCGAATATATGAAGTGTGCCATATGTATTGAAAATAAAATGCACAATTTACCATTCAAGAATAATAGAAGAAAAGCAGAAAATATTCTGGAGATTATACATACAGATGTAAATGAACCTCACAGAACAAGTGGATGTAATGGTGAGAAATACTTTGTGAGTTTTATTGATGATTATAGCAAGTTGGCAAAAATTTACTGTATCAAATCTAAGGCTCAAGTCTCTGATTGCTTAATTGAATATGTAAATGAAATTCAAAATTTAACAGGGAAGACTATCAAAGAACTAAGATGTGATAGTGGTAGTGAATATATGAATAGCAAGATATACAAATTTGCAAGAGAAAAAGATTTCAAGATAAATTCATGCCCACCATATGTACATGAATTGAATGGTACTGCTGAGCATTACAACAGAACTATAATGGATATGGCAAGATGTGTTTTAGCCGAAGCAAAAGTTGACAGACGTTACTAGACTAAAGTAATTAAAGCTGCTGCTTATTTGAAAAACAAGACATTAACAAATACTGTTGTAAAGAAGACACCATATGAAATATTATTCAATAGGAAACCATCTGCTAATGAATTGAAATTATACGAAAGTAGAGTGTATGTAAGAATACCAGAAGAAAAGAGAAAGTGGGATAAAAAGGCTGAATTTGGAATTTTACTTGGATATACAGAAATTGGATGTAGAGTTTTGATGAATAACAGAATAATAGTTGCCAGGCATGTTGACATTATTGAAGAAGACATAATGTGTGTAGGTTGTGATGATGAAGATAAGAATGATGATACAAATAAGAAGAATGAACCTCAAGAAGTGTCATGTGAATCGAGTAATGATAACTCCAAGGACAGTGTGATAAATGAAGATGAAAGAAAAAGGGGAATGAGACCAAGAAGGCAAATCAAACCACCAGTTCGATTTCATGAAGAATTCAGGTACTACTACTTGTGTTAGTGCAAATTTTTGTGATGCTACAGTTCCAGGTAACTTTGAAAGAGGCGACAACATGCAGCGAGGCTGGACATTGGAAAGAGGCAATGGACAGTGAAATGAACAGTCTTGTTAAAAAACAACACTTGGACACTAGTGACTAAACCAGAGGATAAAGCAATTCTAGATGTGAAGTGGGGTATTCAAAAGAAAACCAGGTAATGTTTTTAAAGTGTAGTTTTATTAATGGTTCAGAGAAAATTTTAGCAGGTTCGAGGTTTCCAGCAAAAAGATAGTATTGAGGATACTTATTTCCCTGTCATTAAGATGCAAACCTTAAAATTGTTACTTTCATATTCTTGTCAGTATAATTTAAATATTCATCAAATGGATGTTGAGACTGCCTTTTTAAATGGTTATGTTGTGTCTGAGGTTTATGTTAAACAACCACAAGGCTATAATGATAATTCGAATAGAGTGTATAAATTAAAGAAAGCACTATATAGGTTAAAAGAAAACCCTCGTGCTTGGTATGAGTGTTTTAACGAGTATATTGAGAGTCTAGGATTTCGTAGAAGTAAATATGATTTTCTAGAAGTAAATATGATTCTTTATGTAAAATCTGAAAATGATGTATTTGTATATATTCTTTTATTTGTTGATGATTTGTTGATATGTTGCAAAGATACTCAGGTAATTAATTATATTAAGGAACAACTATATAATAAATTTAAAATGAAGGATTTAAATAAAGTAAAAAGCTACATTGGAATTGATAATGAATATGATAATGAGAAAAGTAATATCTTAGCACTGAGTCAGGAAAATTATATTGAATCTTTAGCTAAACTGTATGGTATTGAAAATTCAAAGCTTTATGATACACCAATGGAGATTAATCTTAAACTAAGCCAATCTAATTTAAATCAAAATGTCAAATATAGAAATCTAATAGGAGCACTCTTGTATATTAGTCATGGTACTAGAACCAGACATATCTTTCAGCGTAAATTATTTAAGTAGATTTCAAAATTGTTATGATGAGACACATTTCAAATATGCTTTGAGAGTTTTAAAAGTATTGTACTTAACAAAACACAAAACATCTAAAATTAACCTATAGTAAAAATCTTAAAACTGATATTATGAATTGTTATGTTGATGCTGATTGGGCAGGTGATATTGTTGACAGAAAGTCAACTACTGGGTTTGTTATTGAATTATTTGGTAATCCAATTTACTGGAAATCCAAAAAGCAAAATTGTGTGACAAAATCTTCCACTTTTGCCGAATATATTGCTCTATCTGAGGCTGTGACAGAAATTAATTTCTTAAAAAGTGTTGTGACTGATGTTTTTGCTGATATAACTCACCCCATTAAAATTTATGAAGATAATTCAGGAGCTTTGGCCATTGCTAATTATGGGAACTTCACTAAAAGTTCAAAACACATAGAAGTTCAATATCATTATGTTCACGAAAATATTCAAAATGGAGTAATTGAAATTGTAAAGATTGATTCAGAATCAAATATTGCAGATATCTTTACTAAGTCTTTAGGAAAGATTAAATTTATGAAATATAGAGAACTTTTGAAATTGAAATAAATTTTGTATACTGTTTATTTAAGTGATGTTTATTTAAATATTTTTGCTTGAAATGAAATAGAATTTTGTAATGTCCTTATGTAAACTAAATTGTGTTTAACTTTGATTTTAACATTTAAGTTAATGAAAGAAACCTTTTTTTAAAATATTTGCGCTAAGTGTTGAATGTTATTGTTTATATCTATGCTTAATTGTAAGTGGTAAAGATGAAAAGGTTGCTTATATCTATGTTTGTTTGTAATTAGCAATATAAATGTAAGGAAGCGTGTTAGTTTGGTACATTTATATTTACCATGTTGGCAAGACCAAGTTTTTCTTCTCTGCGTGCGAGCTATGGATGCCGTTGTAATGTTGTGCGCGTGTTGTTAAGTTTCAATAAAAATTGTGAAAAGATACGTTTCTTATTTTTCGACTTGCTTCTTCATATGATATCGGTTTATTTAACATATATCTTGCAGAAAAAATGTAAGTTGTTGTTCTTAAGAATTTAATGTATGTAATTTTTTTTTTTTTTTTTTTTTTTTTTTTTTTTTCATTATTAGCAGAATAATAGCAACGGTCCTAGAAATGTCAAGCCTTGTATGTTTGAAAATGTTGTAATGTATAACAAAATGTAACAGTCAGTGTCTTTTTCAACTACTTTTTTTTGCATAAATTTCATGTTTTCTTTCCATAGGTCTAATGCATTTGATCTTCATATTCTTACCATATGGAATCTCATTAGTCTAATAACATCTGGTGCCTTGTTATGAATCTCATTATCCAGGATTGCATAAAGTGCATTAAGTAATGCAATCAAACAATATTCTTGCTCTTTGGAGGAGCATAATAGTTATCTACAGATTCGTAAACTGGAAGCTGAATTAATTGCATGTGAAAAAAAATCCGAAAAACCTTGTTCCGGTGATATTTGAATATTCAAACATTTTTTTAGAATTGTATTATTATTATTATTATTACAATTTCTGGAAGAAAAATTGCATTAATTGTTAAAATAATTTTTTTACCAAATTTTATATACTTTGATTTGTTTCTTTAAATAGAGTACCAGAAGGGTTAGTAGCTAAAATGACACCTTGTTATTTTTTAAATTTAACTCCTCATCAGTTGAATTTTATAATGAACTCAGTTGAAGGGGATTCTTTTTAAACAAAAGTTTAAAAAGAAGAATAAGAAAGAAAAAAATAAATGTTAAAAATACAATGAAAGAAACAAAGGGCTATTTTTTGTTCTTTCTTCAAACAAAATTATTTAAATTATTTTCATTTTTTTATTACATTATCTTGAAAAATAGCTTGAGCATCAAAATTCAGCTGTTCTTCAAGATGCAGTGTACAACAGTTTTTTTTTTTTTTTTTTTAATAAGAATTAAATACTTTTTTGAAGAAATTCTGCAGCATAGAGTAAACATACACAAAAGTGATAGTATTTATGCATTTACATTTTTATATTTTTGTATGTTTATGTTTTAATCATGTGAAAATTATTCTGTACAGTGGTGTTGGTTTGATTTTTAATATATATGATATATTTGTGATAGGAATATTTTAAAATTTCAAAGAAACTATAAGTCTTTTAACTTCCAAATTTAGTGTTTAACAGATTATTTGCAACTTTGACCGCTATAAAACAGAAGTTTCATGTATTCTGTTTTTTATGGAATTAGAATCCATGATCACATAAAGTGTTTTTCTTTTCCTTTAATTAACCCTTTCAAGACTTCTTTGTATGTGTGTGTGTGTGCGTGCAGACTCTAATTTAATATATTGCTTCATATTTTTAAAGCCTTTTTAAGATGTTTTTAATTTTTCAGATTTTTTCGAACCTTTTTATTGATTTTTTTTTTAGTGGGACATATCATCCCATACCAATACATAGTAATTTATCAAGTGCAATCAAAGTGGATCTGTGAAGTTGAAGTTTCAAAGATTATAACTTGTCTTAATTACAGGAGGCAGAATAATTTTGGGTACCTTTTTTTTTTTCTTAATTATCATTTTTATTTATTTATTTACTTTTGTTAATTTTGGCAGCTAAATGTAAAAATCAATACAGTAAAAGCTTGACGGCTATCTGGACAGCTTAAGAAATGCTGAATTCTGAATAAATAAAAATTTCAAATATTGTTATGGAAATGCAGATATTTTTGATAAAATCAGTTCATTTTCGGAATTTTGCTCAGCCATTTCATTAACGTTCTTTAATATCGTAATTGTATTTATCTTTACAATAGACGTGTACAGTCTACTTTTCAATACTTTGTTGATTGAGTTTCCAGCACTATCATTTCCTCTTATTTTTTCATACCAACTTTTGTTTGCTGTGCAGGAAGGTAGACTGCATTGTTACAAGTCATAGTCCTTTTTTAACATTGAAATTAACTCTTCATAAAATATTCTGGATTATTTTCCCTAAAATATAATAACTTTACTTATAGATCATTATCAGCAGTCTTCATTACCTATGTTCAGATCATTTCCAGAGGTGGTCAATACAAGCTTTCACTGCATTTATTTTTTAAAAAATATGCACATGTATTTTATTTATATCATTCAGATAATCATTATTACTTTCTTGTTTACACAATATGAAACTCAGAGCCAGAATCTCTCCTACCCAGGCTTTAGCCATATGGAGGAGGGATTTGTTTTGATGTATTTGGTTGTTAATTAGTGATATATATATATGTGTGTGTGTCTGTGTGTGTGTGGTGTGTGTGTGTGATAATTTAATTCAACAATGAAGTGCATTTCTATATCATAAACCACTGTAAGAATAGTAACTAATTAGTAGCTGTGATGAGTAGAAAATGCTACTTGTTGAGGCATGGGCATCTTAGCCACTATCTTGAATCTTGCTGGACGTTTTCAATGAAAAAGGGGCTTTCGATATATTAATTGAAGTTAGAATTTTTTTGGAAACATAGTTGTGCAGTTAATTATTTATTCATAGGTGAGGTTTGAGTTTGTCATAGATGAATTTATTATTTCTTTATTTGGGGGGAATCAGGCATACGTATGAGGATCCAGGACTGAATGTCTATTGTGCTATAAATGCTGCATGAAGTTCCCATATTACTTTGATGATGTTGTACAGCTTTCACCATGGATATATCACCTGACCTTTATCCTGTTATTTGGGGCAAAATTCAAGTTGGTGGCCATGATGTTATACTTTCCAACAGATAGTGCTTTCTATCCATAACCCAACTTTAACATTTAGTTTCAATTCTTGCAAAAAATTATGAAGTGGAACAATATCTCCTGTTGAGAAATACTTTTTTATTTATAGAGTAATTACCATTGCATATATTTGATTCTTTAAAGAGAATGTAGTAGTGTTTATGTGTTGGTATTTCCATTTCAGAGCATTAAAAAAAATTCTTTTTTTCAACTTTTACATAACTCATTTCATTTACTACTTAAAAGGATAAATTTTAAAATAAATATAATTATATAAAATATATAAAAAAACAATACTTTTGAAAACAAAATATAAACATGCCTAGTATTTTCATGCATTAACCTGCAGAAAAATTATCATTAAAGACATAAAGTAAGAAATTTGGAACTAATATTTCACAAAGACCAAAAATTGAAATTCATAATTAATAAATTTCAAATAATCTTATTAATGCAACAAAGAATTTTAAAAATGTTAAAACCAAAACTTTTCAAACAAGCAAAACCCATTTAAAAAAATTAATGAAATTTAAATAAAATTGAACAAAAACAGAAAAGGAATTCAATCAACTTTAGTGCTACTTCGTCAGGGGGGTAGGAACATTGAAATCACTCTTCTACAAAAATCCTTGCCTTTCTGTATCCAGAATCAGCCGATGAACCATTTCAATCTATTTTAATTATAATAGTTCACCTGAAAATTCTGGCCCTTCCCCAAAGCAAGGGAAAAGTAAATTCTAATTAGAATAACCTTAAATAAAGAGAATTCGATTTTATAAAAAGAAATGGAATCGAAAGTGAAAAAACAAAATACTTCAGTGAAAAATTTTAAATCAAAATGTTTACCTTTAAACAGATAATCCAATGAATTAAGATATGAGTGAATTTATGAAACAGAGTTAAAAAACCTAATTAGAACACACAAAAAGTAATTAAGAACTTCGAGCACTCTTATTAGACACCAGTCTAAACTATGAGATGCAAAACAGTAGGGACATACAGGTTTGCCTTCATTGGCGAAACTAAAAAACCTTGGTAATCGCTCAAAAGGTTAAAATCTTGTAGGAAATATGTAATTTTGAAATCAAAAAGAGTTAAATATTTCAATGAAAATTTATTTTTATTTTTTAGAATGATATTTAAGTAAATTCTGAAAACCAAAAGGAAAATAAGAATATTATTTAGTGTAAAACTTTAATTAAATCAATTAATCCTTAAAAAATAGACTCAAAAAGTTGCCCAAAAAGTGATCAAATAGCATTTAGTAATTGTGTTGTAGATATGAGAAAAAATCTATTAACCCTTTCGTGGGCCGTGGGAAGGTTACTTCCCAGCTACATGTTCCTGGGAAATACACCTGTGGGAAGCGCAAAACCCACTATAATATATTGGCTTTGCTATTATAACGTTGGGAACTCTAATTCCCACTTCAGTATTGTGCTGCTATCTGTGTTCAATCGATTGAAAACAGAATTACCACATTTGTTTTTAAAGTTTGAACGAACGCGTGTTGTGCGAGATCTGTTCCACTGAGACACCTATTTTGATTTGACATTTGCATTGCTATACGATTCTGTACAAATGTAAGTAAAGCACTGTTTTTATTATAATAACATTTTCTTATTTTGTATATTTCTGCAACTATCTAATATTGAATAATAAATAATGGGTGGAAAAGTGAAAATGCTATTGCATCATGTGTATAAAAGCCACGTGCAATAAATGTATGTTGGAAAAATTAGAATATTTGTTAAAATACATTTGAAAATATCATTCAATCCTACTGAGAAAGAAAAGGATTATTTTGGGCATGATTTTGACCGAAGGAAATTTTACAGAATATTGTTGATGAAACAAACTCATATGCAAAGCAGCCTAAGAAAAGGAAGAGATTGGGTCATACCACAAAAGACATTATCCTGAACTGGAAAAAGAAATCACACATCAGAAAAATTGAAAGCATGGGTAGGTATGCATATACTCATGGGTATATACATCAATTGCCTGAACTGAAAAACTACTGGATAATAATCAACATAAAAGTCAGAGCAACATAAAAGTGGAGCACAGACCCTATTCTCAATGTTCAATCAGTAGCAAGAATAATAATCGCAAAGAGGTTCAAAAAATAACTGAGACTTTACATGTAAACGATAACAGCACAAATCCATATGTGGACAATTTGGGCGTTGATAAACTCCATAAAGTCAGACCATCCTCTCACAGCTCAATGATTCCATACCTAAAGTCTACGAACCTTCGTCAACACTTATGAATAGATGAATGTATGATATGATTTCAAAGCTTTCATTACTTCATTGAAGCAGTATATGCCAATGAAGCCTATAAAAAGAGGTTACAAGGTTGGTGTTTAGCAGACTCTAAGACTGGATATATTCAAAATTTGAAATTTATTGTGGAAAAGAAACTTCTGATAATAAGGATAAAATATTGAGCTTAGGAGAAACAGTAATAACTAAACTAATGGAAGATGTGAAACAGACAGGTCATCTTATAGCCTATCATAACTATTTGACATCTTTTAGGCTTGCAAAAAGTCTACTTATAAGAGGTCTGTTTTCTGTGGGGACTGTGAGGCTGGAAAGGAAGGATCTTCCACCAATACTGAAGGCTAATAACAAACTACAAAGAGGGGAATCAATGTTCCTAACTAAGAAAGGTGTTGCTGCAATAAAGTGGATGGTCAAAAAGGCTGTTACATTGTTTCACTACTGCACATTGTAGTTCAGCGATTATTACATCTGTAAATCGTACAAAAAAGGATGGTACTAAAACAGAAGTACCTTGCCCTAAAGCTGTTGCTGTATGTAACGATATCATGGGAGGGGTTGATTGCTTTGATCAAAGAAAAGAAAGGTACCAAATAGGAAGAAGATCTATAGAATGGTGGCATCGTATTTTTTATTTTCTTATTGATCTTCGGATCGTAAATAGTTTTATACTGTGGCAAGAAAACAAGAGAAACAGAAGTTTAGACCAGCTAACACTCCGTAAAGAAAAGATGGCCTGCTATATGTGTGCAGTATCTAAAGTACCCTTGTGCATTGCAACATGTTTTTCATCTTTTCAAGACAAATATTCGGCTTTAAATTGAATTTTCTCTATGACCATAAAAGGTCCCGTGGGAAGTATACTTCCCACCCCTAGAATTTAAATGTAAACAAAAAATTTGGCAAAATAAAATATATTTCCTTAAATGCTATTGTTTAATTGATAATAAAACATAAAAAAACAGGAGAAATTCAAAAGAGAAATAAATGGCCCGCAAAAGGATTAAGTTGAATACTAGTTTTTTAAATTTTTAATTTAAAATTATAGAAGAAAGCTGAAAAAGGAAGTAAAAGAACTGTGTTAGAAAAGTAAAATGTTTTTACATCATGACATATTTATTGTTAAGACGTGTTTGATTACTTACAATTTTTTTAACCTAGAAGTCAAAAAAATTGGTCAAATAATTGCTTTCCAGAGATCAGACTTTTGAATGTGTTATGCAAATAGAGATGTACATATGAAACTTATGCTAGTTTTTCCAAGTGTGAATACACACACAATATATATATATATATATATATATATATATCACCACTAAATAGATATTAAGGGACTTAAGCTTATAGGGTAAAAAAATTAGTACAATTCTAACAGTACAATTAGTACAATTCTATTTGACTAGCAATTTGTTAATAAATAAACAAAGAACTCAATAATATAGTTTTCTGATCTTCATTCAGAAATGAAGGAACTCCAATTTCATTCACTTTTGCTATTCATGTTTTTAAGTTAATTAAGATAAAAGAAGTATCTAAATTTTACAAGTAACAAGCATTTTAAGAAACTAATTTCTGTGTCATTATGTAGATTGAAATTCTAGTAATTGAGAGTGGACTCAGAATAAATTGTTGCCGGTGAGTTAATTTCTGAAGTCATTTGCATCGTTCAGTAACTGTCATTCTGGTTTACTAGAATAATAAAATGGAAAGAATAGAAGTTCAAACTATGCAGTGTTTGATTATGTGAAATACTTCCGTCCAGACATCCGATACACATAAATTATATACATCAAGTCATTAAAAATTTCCAACTATTCCATTCATACTCTCATCTTCTTTCATATGTATAAGGTGAAAAATTTACACCATTGATATTTCTGCTCTCCGTCCGTATGTTATATACAGTCAAAAGTCGTTAATCCGGACTCGTCGGGACTTCGGCGATTCCGGATTATCGATTTTTCCGGATTATATAGATCATCAGTTTAAATCTCGTAAGATGGCATGCAGAAATTCTAAAATTAAAAATATGAAACCGTAATTTATGAAATAAAGAACAATTATTTATCAACATATACAAAAAAAAAGCTTAATATTTATTTTACTTTATTAAACATTTCTTTCAATGTAAGTTGTTTAAGTTGCTTCGTTTTATGTGATAATACTTTCTCTTTAATTCTATAAACAGACATAATTTCTTGTTCAGTTACAAAGTTTCGCTGTTCAAGTCCCGTAATTGCTGTGCCGAGAATACCGACTAACTTGTCAATCGAAAATTTTTTCGTTTTCACTAACCTCTCTATCACCTTCTTCATGTCTTTATCCATTTTTTGCAGCAATTCCACTTTTTGTTTGATGGACATCGAAACATACTTTCGTTTTGTAGATCCTTTGGGAGCTCCAGCATCGGAAATTCTATTTGACATAATCGAAAGTTCAAGTTTACTTTTATAGTATTGCTCTTACAGTCTACAAAAAATAATAAGCCGGAAATAATTCGAAGATTAAGGAACAACGCAATCATCAACATTAACTGAAATAGATAATTTTAGCTTATACCGTCCGTTATACATAAAACGTGCACGCAAAAACGTATTCTGCGCTTGCGCACACACATATGCGCAGTCGTAAAGGTCTTACGCGCAAGCGTAAACGCCTATGCACATGTGTCAACGCGGAGCATGCGAAGAAAGTTTTTAGCTTTGAGGTCCGGATTATAGATCATTCCGGATTATGGGTGTCCGAATTAACGACTTTTGACTGTATCTGTAAAATGTTAAAAGTTTTTGTAAAGTGAATTTTTTGTTAAATATCCTTTTTTAGTGTTTTTGAATACTTTTTTATGTAAAAATATATAGTGTGAATTGTAGTATTTTCTACATCCTTGTTTTTCTTGTATCATAATCATTCTTTTTTCTGTATAT